AGTTTGGGGAATGCCATTTGTTAAGGTGACTGGTGTCAAGGTAATTATTGTTGTGCTATGTGCTAATGTTTTAATGCATTTCAAAAATCTATGTGCATAAAAGCTATAAAAACAAAGTATTTAATTCTATCTCCTTAAGCCTGTCTTGTACTGTCTCTTACAAATTATATCTAAATTAGTATAGATTTCTTCATGTTTGGTCTTTTGTTTGTTTCTCATAGGTTTGGTGACTATCCCATGCTCCCTGATAAGTCTCAATATGAGAGAGACCCCTGGTACCAGTGGGACCAGCCAGACATGAGGCACAACTGGGGAGAGCCGGTAGGAACACCAGTTCCACTTCTCAAGTTGCTAACCAATGCTTCTTTTATTAAATTCTAACATGCGCTTCTTGTTAGTGCTTTCTGTTGAATCCTTTGTGTAATTTCATCACCAGTGCCGGTGTGTGTTGCCTGTGCAAGCAGGGACAGTTCAAGGCAAAGTTAGGCTTTGGCCATCTGGGTAAAAGTACTGAGGACAGTTAATTTATTACATATGAGAAAGGAGACTTAACAAACTTAACTTCCCCTACAGGAGTAATTTTATTTGCCTGATAAGACTCAGTATGAGAGCCTGGTTCAGAACTGTTTAGCAAAGGAACCACCATTTGAATAAAGTCCTTTTAGTGCAATGGAAGTAGCTACTGTTGCTTTATTACTCCAGGGCTTTTTTGAGGTAGACTGTACAAGTAAGGATGTTCTCTCTAAAGGAAGTTTGCAGCATGCCCTTAAGATAAATGTGAATAGGTCATCTGTGTTAACTTTGAACTTAACTTGAAAATCTAAGCTCCTCAAATTCCTTTCAGGAGTAGCTCTTCTCCTGGTGCATGGTCTTTTTGTGAATGACTGCAATCTGACTGCAGTTACTGAGCTTGGTAATTGACTTGTGATCTCTTTACTAAGAGTTCATCTAAGTATATGTACTTAATATATCATAGTCAAACCACATCAGAGCATTTCAGCTTGTGTACCACAGCAAAGTGCATGTTGTAATGACTATAAAAGCACGTGAAAAAAACCCATGTTGATTCTGTGTTGTTGTAGTGCTTGCTGCACTACAGGCTTGTGTGCAAGCCCTTGCACATGGTGTTGGCAGTCAGGAACAAAGAGGGCTATACTGGTGTTTTCCAGGTGTCAGCAGATGCATCTGTTTAGGCAGCTTTGATTTCTGCTCATTCTGGCTCTGGGTTTGATAGGACATGGCTCTGGGGGAACTAGAGCTGGGAATCTGGAAGCAGTACTTGAGCTGCAAATTAATGAGTTCTCTGCATTTATTAATGTGAAAGGAAACTATAGGCAGAACATGCTTGAGACTTTCCTATTTATAGTTCAGGGCATTAGCTTGCTACCAGCCTTGCTCTTGTCCTGGAGTAACAGCAGCAAGTCTTCTCCCTGTTTTGAGGGACCAGCTTCCAAGTGTCAGGTGGTTGCTTCTTTGTTTGAAATAGCACTGCTTCTGTTTGGGTATTTGACTGAGCTTCCAATAATGAGGGTTCCAATTTATACCATGCCTTTCCAGTGATCCTGGGGAACAAAGCTGAGGTGGAATCATTATGCATAGAAATAAAACCTGCTGCTGTCCTACATTTAAGTATGTTGTGTGGTGTAAGCATAGGATGAAATGTAGAGTCTTTTGAGTTTTACTGTAAGCAACAATTGGTTGTGACTATAGGTAAGCCACATACCTTCTCTGTGGCTTTATCTCTACATTTGAGGTGGAGATGAAACAGCTTCTTGCAGTTTTGTGAATGCTGTAATGTGCTGCTCCCCTTGAGAGAAGCAGCTTGACCACTGTTGGTAAATGTGCAATTGTTTTGCTTTGTTCTTCAGATGCACTGGGATTTTGACATGTTCATTCGGAACCGGGTTGATACATCCCCCACTGTTGTTCCCTGGCACACCATGAGCAAACACTTCCTTCTCTTTTTGAGCATAATGCTGATCATGTTTGGTGTTGGAGAGATCTACCCATCCTACAGGCCTGTGGTGAGTGAAACCTGAGGGTAAAGGGAGAAAAAGTAGCTGTATTTCTTGTCATTGCCAATGCCCATAAGAGTGGTTTTGCTGAAGATGAGTGATGGGTGTGAATGCAAAACTGCTGCTGGCAGTGGATGGGCCAAGGGATGTCCTGTGGCCTCATCTAGCCTGAGTTGTTCTCTGGACTGGCCTGGCTCAGCTCACAGATGCTGCTTCATAGTGTGCAGTGCCTGTTCACAGGGAGCTAACTTGAACTATGCTTCTTACAGTATCCCATCTTTGGTCTAGGTATTTTCCTTCCCTGTGTGTGCATCTACTCAAGTGAGATGCTTTAACTCTTCTTTTGCCTTGTGTTTTTAATTATATCTCATGAGCTGTATCATTTGGGAAATGTACTCTTGAAAAATGTGTCTGAATACACAAAAGCAGCTTTTGCAATACATTATCCTCATGCTGTGAGATAAAATGTTGATTAAGATTAAAAGCAAGACCGCCTTGATGTTTCTGTTAAAAAAAATCATTTATGCAAGGAACCCCATATTTCTGAATTTACTTTCCTCTGATATACTAGCTGAAGCACTTAAGAAATAGAAATTTAGGTCATAAATTACAAGCCTTTATTTGGGTGGGGGTGGGATGGGATGAGACATTTTCCTCTTACCCCTTAATTTGCTTGGTGAATGTGGTGAATTGCCGTTCTTTGTCTCTCCTTGTAGGGACCGAAGCAATATCCCTTCAATGACCTGTATCTGGAGAAAGGAGGAGACCCCAATAAAAAGCCACCAGCGGTGATACACTATGAAATTTGAAAGTTGTTCAAGTGCTACATTTCCGTCAGTTCTCCTGGGGAAGAAATCTTGTCTAGTGTTCACTGGCATATGTTAACACTTGTTCTTCAACGTTCAGCTGCTAACTGCAGTGAAATATATCAATGACACCTACTGTGCTAGTTGTCTTCTGTTGGTTTGAGAAGGCTGAATTATAGCTAATGAAATGGAGTGACCCTTTGCCATTTTTCTAAATGGGATAGTATCTATGGGGCAAAATTATGAGTGCAGACCTAGGACTGCTGGTCATTTATCTATCTTGTGCACAAACATTCCTCACCTATGCGTGTTTATGTACGCACTACTGCCTGTAACCAAGACATTTAATGCAGGTGCTGCTGGGAGTTGAACTGGAGTGTCACTGTACACTGTAAAATGACAGGCAGAAACAGATTGGCAAGTGCCAGTATTTGGGAATCTTGTACTGTGTCTGCCCTTAGTGGGAGTTGACTTTGATCTCTTCCAGGTCTAGATGCCCTCTCAAGTGAAGTTTGCATAACCAGTAGGAAGCACTTGTGAGGCACAGAGCCTTGCAGTGTGTAGCTTGAAGCTGACAGCAGCAGTATGAAAAGGCTAATGAGCAAGTTCTGCTCTAGCCAGATCTGCTTTGATACAAGTGCTCATAATTGTTCCTTTATGGCCTGAATTCATCCACCTAGCCTGGAGTTACATCTGACCCATGAAATCTGCCTGTTTTGCTGCAAACCACCGGTCTTGGACCTCCTATAGCTTCAGCAACAGTTTGCTTTGGAAAGTTATACATACAGTTATATTAAGCTCCTAAATTTGTCCAGCTCCACTCTAAGATAAGGGTTTTTTCCTCTTGTTGCTGGAGGAGACTACCTTTAGTACTAATTTACAGTGAATCTTCTCTCAGCTCTGCTATGCTATGCCATAACCCCCCTGTTTAGTTGCAGGAGTGGGCGATCACAGAAAGCTGAAGGCTTGGGCCGCTCTAGGTGCTTCCTATAAATTGGGTGCTGTGCTCTGCTCTCGGCACCCTTCACAGCTCATAGTTTTGTGCTTGAAGAGAAGCAGGTATATAAAGACAGTGATTCATGGTTTTTCCATCTGTACAGATTTTAAACCCCAAATTCTAAAGAGACTGTTAGCTTAGTTTTTAAGGATTTATGTTAAAGGAAATGATGGGATTGAATGCCAGGACATAGTTTTATTTGTACTTAAATATTTATAACTCCTTTGGAGGTGCTGAACAATCAACATTCCTCATAGCTTTTGTTAGCTGTCACCTTCTCTTCTTGTTACAGAAATGTTTGCTTTTAAATTATAGTCAATGATTATAGTCAATGATGTTTTATCTCAGAAGGGTTTTCAAGTGTTCTTTATGAGCTAGGGGGACCTTAAAACTGAATTCTGTTTTGCAGGGCAAAACACTCCTTAGGAATACTTGAGTCGAGAATTCCCATTCCACAGCACTTACATGATAGCACTGTATGAAATGTTATGAGAGTTGTAAGAGTCTTCAAGTAAAATGAAGGTGATCAGAGCAGTAACAGGAGCTTTGGTGTGTGTGATAGTGTCGCACTTGCGTTGAGGCAGGGCTAGGCCCATCCAGCTCATTGTGCCAGCGTTCCAGTGCTGTTTGCTGCTGCCCGCTTTGGGCACTTCCAATCCCAGTTTGTTCTAAACAGTCGCTTAATTATGGTTTTCATCCATGGGAATGGCATAATGGGTTGGGCAGATATGGCTCAGAAATCCTAAAAAATTGAGTTTGTAATGTAGGCAAATTTTTTCTAGAAGCAGGAGAGATGTAAGGGAAGAATGCCTGGGTCCTTCTGCATGTTGTTTCCTGGCAATTAAAATACTTTTAGAAATACATTCCTTTCCTTTCTGCACACCCTCAGGATGCATTACATGTGTAGCTAAGGCAAAGTTCTGAGGGGGGTATGGCAGCCTCAGCACAGCCCGGCGCCAGCAGTGGGGTCCTTGGCCTCCGGCGTGAACCGTCCGGTACCGATGGACGGAGCCGATTCACGTACCCTACAGAGGGTGAAGGAGCTGCCGGGCCGGGCCGGGCCGGGCCGGGCCGGGCGAAGGAGCGGGGCCCCTCCTCATCCTCCTCTCCTCACCTCACCTGGCCCGGCCCGGCCCGGCCCGCGCCCCTCAGACACCGAGCCGGGGCTGGCCTGCCCCGCCGCGCCCCTGTCCCCCAGCCCAGGACTGCTGTGCTGCCCTGTCTGTCTCGCTGTCCGGGCTCCGCTCCCGGGTCCCGTGGCCCCGTCCTTGCCCCGGCAGCCTCGGCTCCTCTCTCCCGTCTCTTCTCCGCCGGCCGGCTGGCGGCGGGCGGGGAGCGGCCGGGGGATCTCAGCTGTGTGACCTGGGCCGCGGAGAGGCCTCTGGCGTAGCCCGGAGCCTGTGTCTGACAGCCGGTGTCCGAGGTCAATGCTTTCCTCCTAGACCCTCGCTCTCTTTCACTGTCCCTCGGGGTAATGCTGTTGTGCGGACAAGCACATTGAGAGGTGTGTGCACTGCCGCCTGAGCAGCGCTGTGCAATGGGCAACAGCTTCTGAAACTGCGCAGAGCACAAGAAGTTTCTTTCTATACCATTGGAGCTGTCATGGAGGAATGTGCTGAGCCCTGCCCTGCAACAACCCCACCTTGCACACAACAGTGATTAGCTGAGATTAGCTGAGTGTGTCTCTGCCTTCTGTAATCGGGGTTTATAATAAGCACATACGAGAACAGCCTGGCTGTGGGCTGTTGGGGAACTGCAGAAAGAGCATGTCATGTCAGAACAGTGCAAAGGGGCAGTACAGAGATTTGAAATTATCACTGGGATGTGGAAACTGTTTGATGTAGGAACAGTTTGTGTCTTAAACATTGTGTCATAGCTGGGGGATGTATTTCAGGTCTTAGGGTGTCTACTTGTCACCTGGGTGACCTTGGACAAATCTTTTTTGTTCTGCCCAAGTTTCACTTTTTAGCTAAGTGTGGGGAGATCAGCCTATCAGGTCCTTTGTGTGCACTGCTGGAAGTCCAATATCAGTAGGAATAGAGAGGAATGATTGGGTGTCCAGTGGCAGGAGGAGGACTGGGAAAGTCAGTGGGAGGGGATTTCTGATTGACAGTATTTGGGTGGTGCAAGAGAGAGAAGGCCTCAGTAGAGTGCTATCAGGGATAATTATTATGACAGCTTTGGGGATCAATTAGCTCATACAACAATCACAGTCTTATTATAGGGTACTGTAAAGCCATAAGTATTTCAGGTTAGCAAAGGTGAGAAATTTTTGCCTCCGAGAGCACTGTTTGCATGGTCTAATGTAATTTGGGAATTTTCACTGTTTAGCTGCATGCTCTCTATTTCTCAGTGATGAGGTGTGCTCTGACCTGTCAGGTTTTGCTTTGCAGGCATTGTTACCCTTTAAGGTCTGTGCAGGAAGCCGTGTCTGAGGAAAGCTGTGGGGAATTGCTGCTTCTGTCCACTCCCTTTGGGGCTGAGATTCATTAATATATTAGATGTGGAATCGGATGGATGTCTGTAGAAGAAGGGTGAGGAATTGTCATGATTAATTAATTAGAAGTCCTGAGAAAAGTATGAGCTTTCTTGGAAGTCTTAGATGCTACTTTGAGAGATGGCAGCAGGTGGCAACCTCTCCCTAAAAATTCTACTGTGGAAGAGTTCAGTACTTGCAAATTTTTCTCAGGCAGACAGAAGAGTTTGCTAAAGAAGGGTTTTTTCCTTCTTTAAGGATTATGAGTCCTCTCCTTGATACAGATATGCATAGTGTATAGAAGGATCACTTCTATAAAAGTAAGACTCAAATCAGGTTTTTTTTGTCCCTTTCAAACTCAGAGCTCACTGACTTAAGGAGGGGGTGCTGCTCTATTGCTGCAGATCCTCAGCTGCAGTGGAGCTGAACTGCTCAGACGTTCTCCAGAGACAGCGTGATACGTGCATCCTCTGTGGGCCTCCTCAAGCCTGTTGGAACCACTGCTGGTTTGCCTTTAGGGCCAGGGACACAGTGAACCTCTTCAGTACCTATGATCCAGCGCTTCTGCAGTTGTTCTGTTGACACTGAGCCACTCTAAATGGAATGTTGTTTGCTTTCCTCCATTTGGGTGGGTTACCATGACCAAGACACTTTACCTTCACATTCTGTCCTGACTTAAGTTTGTGAAAAGAGAACACTAATGTTGCAGTAATTGACTTTCCTATGTGAAATGCTCTATTGACAAGAAAAGCCAAACAATTGATCAATACTGTTCTGCACAATTTTTGCAGCTTATCTTTATTTGCACATTAAATGTAAATTATTTCAGCCATGCAGTCAGTCCAGCCCAGAGGTAAGGAGGGGGAGCTTGTGCCATTTACCCAACTAAGTTTGTGATAGTTGCATTCTTCACTGAGTCCTTAACCAGTTAATTTTCTGTAGGGAAGAGGTCTCTTGGCCATTGTCTATTAATGTTCACAGGGAAGTTTCCCTCTCAAAAGCCAAGAAGCAGTGAGGCCTGAGTGTACAGTCAGCTCCTACAACTGATATATTGTAACTGGAGGAGGAGGAGGAGGAGGCAAGAAAGGGACTTGTAAGGAGCATACCAGGTGTCCTGTCCCCCATAGTGGTGAAGTCAGCTAGAGCCTTGTGCAATAGACTCTTGCCAGAAGATTCACCTAAGATCTGTGGATATTTTCACTTGCCTCTGCCAACGAAGGGAGATGACCTGGACAGGGTTTCTGCAGTAGTATGGGAGGCATGAGTATGTACTTGAGAGATGCACCACAGAGAAAGTGTGGTGGACCCCTAGCGAGTACCCCACAAAGTGTGTACTGGAAGATTGGAAAGTAATCTTTAGAGATTTGTTATGGTAATGAGGAGATGACCTTTCCACCTCTATTCATGGGGGGCATGAGGAAATAGTTGCACTTTTTTTAATTGTACAAGAGTTCTGTTCAGATTCTGTTGGGCCTTAACTAAGTTGGGATAAGCTTAATGTGTGAATAGCAGTTGGAAGTTTGAGCTTTGGGAGATACTGCTGCAGAGTAATGCTAAAAAGCATTAAATAGATTCCAGTCAATCAGCATATCCTAATAGTGAGTGGGGGAGAGAGAGGATGTCCTTAACTTCTGGCTCATGGGGCAGAAGAAACCCTAAAAAGAGGTGTGGAGTTATTAGCTGGGAGGTCCAAACCCAAGAAGTAATGCTGACCAAACTTCCCCCTTGTGTGGGCCCCGGGAGGCCACAGTTTCTTATAAGCCCTGCATCTGAACAGAGGGCCACGTGATGCAGGTTGTGGTTTACACAAACAGTGTCAAGTAACCAGGAGAGGTTAATCACAGCAAACTAACAAGATGCAGAGGGTTTTGCTGTGCTGCCTGCTGACAGTTTTACTTTATTCAGCATGATATCATCTCAGCATACAGTTCTGTTTAGCTAGAGTTAAAAGACTGCAGTGCAGCCAAGCTCGAAAAGTTTAGGCACTGCTCATGAGAGTGACCCCACTAGCCTGTGAATGTCCACACATCATTTATGATGCTTAGAGGGCCTGTTTGTGGTCAGGAATGGAGCGCAGGGTGCTTTCTCCTTAGTAAGAATAGGATCCTACTCAGAACAATAATTATTTGTATTGTATTCAGTTGTCTTTATATTCAGTTTTGCAGCCTCCCCCCTGCCTGCTGTTGATGTTTGATTTTCAATTAACCTGCTACATTGTTGCCCAACTAATCTCTCCAGAAGCATGGGGAAATTTTGTTCCCATTTTACAGGTGTCACTACATCTATCCTGAGTAAATAAGGAGTTGCTGTCAGTGCTGAGATTGAAACCCAGTAGTTACTTGTGGATTACTTCTTTTCACCTTCTGCCATTTGCTGGCTCAAAGAGAAAGTCAAATGAATTTTTTTTTTTGCTTTTGTTTTTTGGAGGAGCAAGAACAAAGTACATTAACTGAATTGGCACACAATAGCATTGCACTTTGTTTTCTGTTGCCACGTCACTTTGCTGCTTGGAATTTAGCCTGCCCTGAGATTCCTTCTGCTCCCTTTTTGCTTATGTATATACTGACATTAGCTTGTTTGGAGAGGGCAACTAGTGCTAGATCAAAATTCATTTGTTTAAATTCATTTCTGCCTCTGATTTAAACCAGCCTGCAGTGAAGACTTGAGTATGTTATTTAGATCCCCTGCTTTTTTCTGAAACTCTCCTGTAATTGGGACATATGAAAAAGAGAGCTATATATGAAAGAAAATTTGGGGTCAGTGGGATTTTGGTGGGGGGGGGGGTTGCGGGGGGGGTTTAATGAATTCTTAAATATCCTAATTTATTCCAGTATTCGCTGCCTCAGGAAGTAGCATTTAATTTCACTCTTTTGAGAGCAGTGTGTTCTCATCAAGTTTCTGATGTGAATATTTTCATATCAACTGTATCTCTCTGTTCTAAACTCTGTGTGAAATTTCTTTCAGAGTCTAGAAAATGAAGCTAAAAGAAATTGAGCGAACAGCTGTGCAGGCATGGAGTCCGGCAAACAACCACCCTATTTACCTAGCAACAGGTAAAGTTCTTCACAATTTGTGACTATTAGAGTATGAATCACAGAAAAATTTCATGTAGAGTTGTATGGGTTTTAACTTTCAATAGTTTCCACCTTGATAGTCTCTGGAAAACTTACAAGCAATTTACCAAAAACATTACAGCTTTTATGTTTTTTTGAAGTAACTGGTAGAGAACTACTTCTGTGCCCAACAGGAGTGATTTTTCAAAGGTTGAATACATTATTTTTTTGATTTCTATTTAAGACTCCAACACTGCTTGATGTTCTCCATTGCACACGTCCTATGCCTGTGGGGGGAAAAAGTTAATTCAAGTAATGTTCATTTAAGGTCACTTGTACTTTTCTGTATTCAGTCATAATCATGTAGCTTGACAATCAAATACTATAAACCTCTTCTCCCTAAAGTTGCCTGTCAGGTTAAGATTCCATTTTCAGTACTTTTGCAAAACCTTAAATTTTATTTTGTTGATTTTATTAATTAATCACTATTCTTACACTACTTTTATTTCCTGAAGCAGAAAGTGAGCATGTTCACTGAGTTGGCAGCAAGCAAGTTTGTCTGTGTAGAGCTGACAGCTCTGGTGGTTTTGTTGGGTTTGCATGGTAAGGCTTTCTAGCTGAGGTGACTCCTGCAAGAAGCTCCTGGGAGCTCCTGCCCTGTCCCCTGGCACCGTGCCAGCCACCTTCCCGAGGGACCCACCGCTGTCCCAGGCTGAGCCTGGCAGTGGCAGTGCCTCTGAAGTAATATAGTTAGCAAGAGGGAGAAAAAACACCATGTGCAACTGGAGCACAAGAGAGGAGTGAGAATATGGGAGAGAAACAATGCTGCAGTCACCAAGGTCCATGCAGAAGGATGGGCTGGAGGTGTTTCAGATGCCAGAGCAGAGATTCCTCTGTAGCCCCTGGTGAAGACCTTAGTGAGGCAGGCTCTCACCCCCGCAGCCCATGGAGGTTCATGGTGGAACAGATACCCAGCTACAATCCACCGTGCTGGAGCAGTGGGATTCCAAAGGATGCTGTGGCCCTGTGGAAAGCCCATGCTGGAGCAGGCTCTTGGTAGGGCCTGTAGCCCCATGGAGAGAGGAGCCCATGATGAACCAGGTTTGCTGGCAGGACTTGTGACCCTATGAGGGACTGAGGTTGGAGCAATCTGTTCTGAAAGACCACCCCATGGAGGAAACCCACACTGGATCAGTTTGTGAAGAGCTGAAGCCTCTGGGAAGGATTTGCATTGGAGAAGTTTGCAGAGAACAAGGCCAGAGTTTTGGTTGAACCAAAGGTCTTGGCTTCAGTTTGCTTTAGATCAGAAGCTGTGTAGTTTCATAAATTGTATTGCCTTTTAATAGTCCTTTGGGCACTTTCCATGCTGTAACCATCCCTGTGGTAACTGGGGGACAGTTTGCCTGGCAGTGTCCCACTAGGCAATGTTAAATCAACTTGTAGCTTTTATTCCATAAGAATAATGGGAAAGAAGGAAGCTATTAGTTTGTGACTGCTAGCTGTCTGTGGGTTGTTGAGGCATGTTTAGTTGGTTACAGTTGAAGAACATATTCTGTAGAGTAGCTTTACAAGGTCTGATTCAGACGTGTCATGATTGATGAGCAGTATGCAGAAGTACTTGGGATCATAACTGCCATTATGTCAGTGCCTTTGTAATTTAGAGAAGAACTTAATATTGGAAGCCATAGTTGCTTGGAGGAGGGTGCATGAGTTGCACCTATCCCGAGAAAGAAAGTTATCTGTGTTCCAGTAACCTTGGTGATGAGAATTTCCTGAAGAACTTTTAATTTCTTTCAAAGTCTTTGTCATAATTGTTGATTCTTTTTTCTGAGGTGTTCAGACATGTCCTCTTTTGAACTTTTGGTTACAGCACCAAGGTTGTGTTGACCATGAAGAATAGGTTTGCAGTGCCTTGCTCTTTTTGTATCTTGTGCTTTTGATAAAAATGTCCACTTGTGTTGCCCTTGTACTTCTGCTAGGAACATCTGCCCAACAACTGGATGCATCCTTCAGTACAAGTGCCACCTTGGAAATATTTGAGGTTGACTTCAGGGATCCCTCCCTGGATATGAAGCAGAAAGGAGCACTTCCTGCCTCAAACAGGTACTGGAAGCTCATACTGATGTATCAATCAATGAAGCTGAAAAGGGTTTTCTGGTGCAAGGAAGGAGAGGAGGAGATAATGTTTACAGCATATAAAATGATCTTTTGAATCAATTGACCTCTCTTCAAAAATTGAACGTTTTTGTTTATACACATCATCTTGAGTATAAAAGTAGAGCAGGCGGACTCTTAGAGAAATCTGAAATTACTTGTATGGTAGTCAGTCACTAGAGACATTATGTATAATGTGAATTTGCTGGGACTAACAATTTGCACTGAAGAGACTAGAGGGAGAGTGAAACTTACTTTCCAGCTCTTTAAAACAAGATTATTTTTTAGGCTTATCAGTGTAGGTGACGTCTGCCCCCAGTGTAAAACACAGCCTGGATTTCTACCTAGCAGATTTTAAAGGGTGTAAACATATTTTTCAGATAACAGCTCTGGAAATGAAGGCACGTAGATCTCTTAACTAATTTTCAATAAAGTGTAGAATAGAGTATTTCACCCACCAAATCCTATGTGAGGTCCTAAAAGTTTTAAACAAACAACAAAACAGCCGAGAAAATAGAGACAAGCTCTTCCTTTTTAAATTTCCTTGAAAAGCCATTGGAAGGAAGCTTATTTCTTTTTTTGCATGCAAGAGCCACAGTCCTCTTGAAAGGAAGATGATTGTTTGAAGTGTAGACTGATGGATATATTTGATAGGTTGAAATAGGGATGTGAGTTTTGGTAATGAAGAGGGTGTCTTGATTTCCACCAAACACCATGGCCTATGCCAGCTTTATTTTCTTCTTTTTTTAGGTTTCATAAGCTGATCTGGGGGAATTTTGGGAATGGATCTGCGGAGTCCTCTGGGGTGATCATTGGAGGGGGGGATAACGGAGTCCTGACGATGTACAGCGTGCACCGCGTCTTGGCTTCAAAGGGCGACCCTGTCATTGCACAGACAGAGAAGCATTCAGGTCCTGTTCGAGCCCTTGACTTCAACCCTTTCCAGGTGTGTAACACTGAGATACCAGAGGAAAGTTAATCTCCATATTAGAAAATACATTCCTTTGTGTATAGATTCATAAATAAAGGGACAAGTTTTAACTTAAGAGGCACAGTAGTTGTCACATAAGGCTGGTTTGAGACTCAGATTTGGGTTCTTTTCACAGCTTTGCCTCTGAATTCCCCTGTGACCTTGTTCAAATCACATACCTCTCTATAAAAACATGTCTTGTAATATTGTTATGTGTCAAACCATTGTCCTTTCAAAATTAAAACTTTTATTTTTTTATTTGTTCAGTTGGTGTTTAATTCAGTGGGGCTCTGATCACATTTGAAAGGACTGCACCATAAATGAGGAGTGAACAGAACCTGTTTCTTGTGGTAGCACAAAGGCAAATGGAAAATTGTCTGCAATTGGTTGTGAGAAACTTTAATCTTCTCAGAAGAAATGTCCTTGATGCCAGGCAAAGGCTCAGCTGGCCAGAGATGGTGGCTTCTAGGCCTGTGGCAGAATTTCATTGTGATTAACAGCAGCCATCTGCACAAAACAGACAAATTTTAAATGTGTCTGTACTATGCTGCAGTGGATGGCATGGAGGCCAGAGATGTGCTTGGTTTATAATCCAGTTAGTATCTTTATGCATGCCCGTGGCTGTGAAATACAGCTCTCATCTCATTTTGGAAGATTTTGGGGTTTTTGCTTCCATTCATTTTTAAGAAATCTGTGAGCAGGAATCTTAGCTGAGCATTTCTTTTTTTTTTCTTACAGAATAATCTCTTGGCTTCCGGAGCCAATGATTCTGAAATTTTCATCTGGGACTTGAATAATTTCAGTGTGCCTATGACTCCGGGGACTAAATCACAGGTAAATGAGTTTTCCTCTGGGCAATACTCATGCAGTTCTGTATCTCAGTAGGCAAGACAAAAAGATGTGTGTGGAGACACCCTAGCCTAGTCAGTCTGTGAAAGGGGAATGACTTTGAAGTCTGTCAGGAGAGAGAAGAATCAGAAGAGACTGATTGGTTTCATTCTTGGGGATGGAAGAAGTGTTGTAAAGGGAGGGGAGGTAGACTGGCAAGCTCTGGAAAGATGCACTTTGCATGGATGGGTAAGCTCTTTGTGGATTTGAATCAAGTAACTGACCAGTTTATCTTGTGATCCAGCTGGGGCATGTGTGATGGATTAAGAAGGTTTATTGGACCTTCTCTGAGGAATGAATTTATTTCAGGCTTCAGCTGAGGCTTTTCATATCTCATGAAAGTCATATCCCTAGCAGAGCCAGTGAGCCATTAAATGCATCTTGGCTATTGCTCCCAGATAATATTTCCCGAGTTTGAAGAGGAAGAAGTTTCTGATCTTCTGATGCTTATTATATTATTCAGGGCAATGAACTCCTGAAAGTAGAAAAATCATAGTAAACTTCAGTAAAGGTAGGCCAAGTTTTTCCTCCAGTAAGTCTCCTGTTTGTTTCCTTGCCTATCTGCTGCATTGCAGTAGATACAAAAACAGCAATTAGTCATGAATACTTCATCGTTTTCCATCTCACTGCACGCCTGAAATGTTGCACTTCATTTAAGTTCATCTGAGAAGCTGGGGTAGAAACATATGTGTGTGCTTAGGTGCAGTTCTCTCTGGAGTGATTCATAACATATTTGGCCAATGTAGAATCCAGTGCCTGATCCTCAAATGCAGAGGTACTTTTCCAGGTGACATTCCCCTACAGAGTTTTACTGTCCACTCTACTCTGAGTAAAGGACTTTCCCTAGTCTTTCTGGTTAGTGCTGCTGGTATTTTCAGTTAGCTGATCAGCAATTGAAGAGAGGAATCTATGTATCATCAAATCCCTTATCCCTCAGTTAAACTATTAACAGACTCCTGTGAGTGTTCCCTCAGCTTGGGAGTAATGGATGTGTGGCCTTTCCTGTCTTGGCAGCCGCATGAAGACATCAGTGTGGTGTCCTGGAATCGGCAGGTGCAGCATATCCTGTCCTCTGCTCACCCCAGCGGCAAGGCTGTGGTTTGGGACCTCAGGAAGAATGAGCCCATCATCAAAGTCAGTGACCACAGCAACAGAGTGAGTGAAGAAAAGCTGCGTTTGTAACTAGCTTACAATGTGCCACATGGGACTACAAAGCAGTGGTACAGACTCTTGGGACAAGTGGTTTTATTCTAGGAGCTGTTGGAACTAGTTTTCTTGGAGACGTAGCATCAAAGCACCTCTTTTTCTTCTTTCCTGAATGAAATGGGGAAACAAGGCCCCTTACTGTTTTTAAAATTCATGCACTCTTGCATTCAGTTTTGGTGTTCACAACTCATTTATGAGACGCCTCCCAGCTTTCTTCCTAGGTCAGCTTTGGACTTTGACTTCTGTGTGGTTAGTAGGGGTTTTTTTGCTGTGAAGAGACAGTAGAAATTCTTGCTGCTTGGAGCAAGACATTACTATACTTGGTTTATGTCAAGCATTCTAGGAGAGTTCAGTACAGAATGACATGGCTTTGGCCCATTTGTGCTATTGCCAACTTGCATTGCTGAATTTTCAGCCTGTGCTATTTTTGTCCCTAGATGCATTGCTCAGGAATGGCCTGGCATCCAGAAGTTGCAACCCAGCTAGTCCTTTCCTCTGAGGATGACCGTTTGCCAGTGATCCAAATATGGGACTTACGCTTTGCTACCTCTCCTCTTAGCCAGCTGGAAGGGCACACCAGGTGAGGACTTGCATGTTGTGTTGCATCTTTTCAAGGTAGACAGCTGGGTGACTGGACTTAGGGAAACTGTGATTTTCTCCTGGGCTTGCTTTCTTTTCCAGATGAATCTGGTTGAAGGTAGAGATGAGAACTAGCATTTCTGAGCCAAGGTGATGATGCATGGTGCTTTCTTAGTGACTGGATGGCAGAACAAACGGTACAGGAAATATGACTGATTTCTTTCTGATCTCTTTTAGGGGAGTTCTCTCTGTTTCTTGGTGCCAGGCTGACCCTGAACTGCTGTTGAGTAGTGCCAAAGACAACCAGATCTTGTGCTGGAACCCAAGTACGGGGGAGGTATGTAACCACAGCTATCAGCATACGTGGTCTGCTTTATATTGTGTACTTTGCTCTGTGTGTGTCCTTGCCTTTTTCCTTGTGGAGTGCCAATGTAATTCCCTCAAGCATGTCTTATGTACTCTTTCTGAAGTGAATGAGTGTGGTCCATATCCAGAGTGATACAGGTTTTTGCTGATACATCTTTGTCCAGAGATCAGAGAGGGAAGAAAACTTTAACTTAAAATTTAGTTTCAACTATTTATAATTACTCTTGCTATGGTAACACTTTAGTGTTCTCTCTTTCCATGTGATTCTTCTTTTTCCTTCTCCTAGAGTAGTAACTTCATTTGGGAGGAAATTTGAAGGAGACCAAGGAGCATATGTTAGAGAAGGGGACAGTGTAGTTAAACAATGTGTGTAAACTTCATTTGTAGTAAAATGGTTTCATATGTATGTGCTTATCTAGCCATGTATCTCAGAATTACCATACTTGGTATATTTAGGTATCACCTGAATTAAAGTGGGGCTGTTTAAATTTTTTTTTATGCACACCCATTCATTCAGTGCAGAGATCCTGGATAAAACTGAACTTCGGACAATGCAGTTGATCTTGATGATAGCATGGGGAAAGTGCTCTAACAATACTGAGCAAAGTCCAGATGGGAGCCCCAGGCTAGATTAATTTCATGGGACAATATCACTCAACTGGCCACTTTTGCCTTGGAGACAAGGAAAAGAATGAATTTGTTTTCCTAAAATGCATGAAATGCTGCTTTTGTAGTTTCATGGAATTTGATCCTCACTTTGTCTAGATCTCTAGTGGTTAGAAGAGGTTCAGACTCTGAAATGTTCCCGATGTCTAATTTTTACAAAAATCAGTGTGGCTGACTTATTTTTATGCATGCTGCTGTAGATTTGCAGAGTCCAAATTAAAATTAGACTTTTGTGTATAAACTACTGTTAGGGGGCTCTTATTGACTTGGTACCAATGAACAGCAAAATTTCAAGTGAAAAAGTTGGGAAGCTTTGCAGTATTAAGGATGAATACAGTTAGACAGAATGGCTGATCTCGTGAGTTTGAGTGAAGTATTGGTTTCTTTGGGTTTGGGGAATGTTTGGTTTCTTGGGATTTGTTTGTCAGTTTTTCTGTTTGGTTTGGGGAATGTTTGGTTTCTTGGGATTTGTTTGTCAATTTTTCTATTTGGCAATCTAGATTTTAATATAAGCAAATTATATTAATTCGCTTCTATCTGGAACAGAAACCACAAATCACATTCCCACAGAAAATGAAGCTGTGACTGTCTGTGCTTTGTTTCTGTAAACCATAAAGGAAATATGTTCATTTTACAAATGGGAGGTTTAAAGTCAAGGCTGTGTTAGTGAGTTGCCCAACATCAGGCAGGAAGTCTGTGAATTGAACTTTGACTTTTTGAATGCTGAACCATAAACTTGTTGGCTGCAATGTCCTTCATAGTTCATGCGCAGCTATTACATTGTCCTCTCTTCTTGTTCTATATTTTTTTCTTTAGGCTCTTTATTTTCCTTGTCACATTTGTTGCTCCACACTATTCTTTCTGTTTACGTGTTCTTTCTCATGACACATTCTTGCCTCTTGACTTCTGATTTTATTGTGTTGTTTTCTGGTGTCTCTCCCTTGGTTAACAACAAATGTGACAATGCTATAATGCTCTGATACAGTAGTACTCAGGAAGCACAGCAAAAGTGACTTTTCACTTTTGGATTTTGTTCTACAGTCAGAATCCAGTTTAACATGAGTTTTCTGTGACTTTCAGTTTGGACTCAAGGTGCTATAATTTGGTTGCAAAGGCGCCGTTCAAGAAGCAAAAATAAGAGATTTGTATGCAATGGTGGCATGTAAATAAAGTGACAGGCTTGCTGTGGGCAAGTGATTTGGGGAGAGCAGGAGGCTGTTTGTGTTGTGCTTCTGTCTTCTCTCTTTCTGTGATAGGTGGTGTATGAGTTGCCCATTCGGAGTCAGTGGTGCTTTGATGTCCAGTGGTGTCCCAGGAATCCTTCAGTCTTCTCTGCTGCCACTTTCGATGGGTGGATCAACATTTATTCTGTTATGGGCGGGAACTTAGAGGCTCAGCAGAAGACACAGGCTGACAAGGTAAAGTCCTGTGACCATGTTAGACCTTGACAGGCTGGCACTTTCTCTCGTGACTGCTCAGAGTGGTGGAAGCACACGTGTGTAACAGGGTCACCTTTAAGTGATGCAATCTGTCCCACACACCTGGACCTATGGCTGTACGGTGTGGGAACCAGAAGGTACCTGAGTGGGGTTTAATAATCCCACCAGATTCCAGAGACCACATTGCCTCTGACAAGGCAATGTGTAAAGAAAGGTGTGTAAAGAAAACCAAGGTGTGTAAAGAAAACCAAGGTGTGTAAAGAAAACCAAGGTGTGTAAAGAAAACCAAGAGCAAGCGCAGTTGTGATGTTAAGATACATTTTATTGTTATTACTATTAGAATAAAAATAAAGCAGTACACAAGCTTTTCTTGTCATTAGGTAAACATTAAGTACATTGATACTAATTAATAGGATATGTTATTCTTCATTAGTTTAGAAGGTAATTTTATAAAGTGGTTTATGAACCACTATTAGCAATTTTCCTCAAGTCTTTTGACTACAACTTTGAGCATGTTAATATTTTTGATACTGAAACCTATTACTTAGCCAATGAATAGATGAGCAAACTCTGAACAGATTAAATGTCACTACTGTCTAAAATTTTAGTTTTAATCTGGTGTCTAGTCTTTTAATTCTCTCCCTCTGTCCCAGCCAACAAATGCCTTACAATACAGGTTTTAAGAGAATACGTATGAACTGGCTTAAGTGTTATTTATATAGTCATTTACAGCTGACTGAGTTCAGTTTCATAGGATTTGCAAGAGGCAGAAAATACTTTATCAAGCAACAGCTGTGGGAGATTAAGGATTCATTTAACCCATGGAGAATTTTCTTTCTCTGCATTCTTCATGTGCATGCACCACGCTTCCACTGTTCAAAATTGGGGAACAGTACTGTTGAATAATTCCTGAATAAGTTGAATATCAAGTAAGAACACAAGCAGGAAATAATGGCAGTTATGGTGACAGGGAGATTGTGACCAAGAGGTCTCTCTTTTATGAACTCAATAGTCTCAGGACAGAAACTCTGTTGCAGACCTGGTTATGTATATTTATTGCTTTAAGGTTTAGGGCGCTTGATCTGTTGCATATAAGCTGTTCCTCAGGAATTAGTCTTTCTTTGGAATTGGTTTCCTCTGAAGAAAGACAAAACATTGCTTGTGATTCTAAGATTTGGCAGTCTTAGCTTGATCAGCCTGATGTTGCTTCCTTTTGGGTGTGCTGGTTAGCTGAGTTATAAAGCTATTCCCTATGGTCCAGTCAGACTTGAACAGGATTATCTTTAGCAAACAACAAATCTATGCAAACAATGTTAAAAATGAAAAGTGCTTGTGAACAGCATTGTATGTATGTTCACTGACTCCCTAAATGTAAGAAATCTGGCTCAGGGGCCACTTTTGTCACTCTCTTGTCTAGACAAGAAAGTTTTATTTCATTAGTCTCATTGAAGCCAAAAAAGCTTGAGACAGTCCTTCAAACTAACCCATTTGAAAGACTCCAGCAATAAAAAGGGAGTCAGAATTCCTGTGTGAGAAAAACAAGAAATAAGTTGGACAACTTTTGACCATATGTTGTCATTATCTTGCATAAAACAAGTAATTTTGCAACTCCTCTGTTTGAGCTGGGTGCTAGGCCTAGCAGTGTTTTTTTAGGAAATTTGCATCTTGCTGAGGAAAAACTACTTGAAAGTCTCTTAGGGTAAAACTTCCTTAAGAAATGATTGCTGGAACTGTTTTGAAATGCCCTTTCTCTTGCACAGGGACTCGGTGGTATTCCAGAAAGAGGTGCTGTACTTGCCTAATTTTTCATCAGTGTGGAAAGTAACGAGTTCCTAAGCAATAGTTTTTTTGCTTATTCCATACAAAGAGGAATTTAATTATATTTTATTCCTATTTCCATCTGATTCTAGATCTCTTCCTCCTTCAACAACCTGGATCCCTTTGGCACAGGACAGAGCCTTCCTCCTCTGCAGGTGCCAGAGCAAGTAACTCAGACCACCTTGATTCCACCATTAAAAAAGCCACCCAAGTGGATTCGCAGACCTGTGGGGGTTTCATTTGCAGTAAGTGAATCTTCATGCTTAGCTGAAAATGCAATAGATGTGTTGTCTTGTGACACAGTCCTTTGCTTTGCCTGGAAAAACCTCTATCTTCCTGTTGCTAGTTGCTTTAATGCCTGTTTAAGGTGCATTGTGGTGTCCCATGAAGTGAAGTTTGTTTACTCTTAATATTCAGATATATTTCCAGCAAGAAAGAGTCCTGTAGCAGAGAATGGGAGATCATAAGTAGAAGTTAACATAATCTAAGGAAAATTTGCAAAAGCTGTCCTTGCAGGCTGGCATGCATTCCCATTCTCTTCTGTCTGTCTCTTTCCTATCCAGGCATTTAATTTTCCTCACATCTTTGCTTCTAAATTGGATTGCTGAATTGTTCTTTTAGCCTGTTACTTGACTTGTTCGTTGTCTTTCTAGTGCCTGCTCCTCACCTGATAGTTTCTATCATTGCAGTCTGCCTCTCCATGTAACACAAGAACTAACAGTTCTGTTCAATGGTACTTTTTCCTCTGTGCCTCTCTGGCACTTGCAGTTGGCTAGGCCTGATTGGGTATGCACAAGTGTCAAGTTTATCAGTGTTCAGTTCAGCTGAAGGGTCGTAATGAGAGCTGCCTCAGTGCTCATACCATCCATGCCCACTAAACTCTTGGGTTCCTTGTGATCACTGCTGGAGCTTGGGTCTGCTTTGATAAATGAAGAACTGAGTAGCTTTTACCTTTGTTTTTAAGAATACCTATTGTGTCTCTCTGTCATTCTCAGTTTGGAGGAAAACTGATTACCTTTGGTCTAACCAAAGCTCCTGGACAGCAAATGCAGCAGACTTATCCACACCAGGTATTCATCAGTCAAGTCACTACTGAAACTGAATTCCTACTCCGATCCAGAGAGCTGCAGATGGCCTTGCAGTCCGGGAACCTCCTTGATTACTGCCAGGGCAAGATCCAGACAGCCAAGTTGCCATTTGATGAGAACCTTTGGAACTTCTTGAAGGTAGGATGGCTGTGGTGAAATACAGAGGTCAGTTCTTCTATGATCATGGGGTGGAATATGGTCATCTCTAGCTATTTATATTCCTGTTCTTTAAAATATAAAATGGAATTGAATGAATATGCTTATTATTTTTCTAAAGAAAGTTGAGGTGTTGGAGGTTGTCTTGTTTTTCATTAGGAATGGTCTTTTCAGTGGACTTGTTCGGGCTTCCTGAAATAGGATCTTTTTCTGTCAACACACTGCCAAGCTATATCTGCCTGCGACCTTAAAAAATTACAATTTTTTTAAGGTGAAGTCCAAATGGACAATGAGATACCCCAGAACAAAGAAGAGAGCTGTGGTGGCATGAGGAGTGACTAACCTTCATGGACAGTTTGGTAGCATGAGAGTTTGGTAATAAGAAGAGGTCACCCTTCTGAAGAGGCAGGGCTTAATCTTGGCAGTGGTTTATAGACACTTGTAGCAGACTGTGTGGAGGGCAAAATACTGAGATATTTGCCACAGTATTATATTTGTGTGGGGACTCTTGAACAGGATGGCCAGCTGTTAATCTAGGTGGTGAAAGTGATCTCCATTGCAACAATGTATTTGGTTAAGTTAAGTGAGACACATCAAGCTGTCATTCTGAGTCACTTTTATAATCCATCTGGTTTGTGGTCCTGAGAGACCACTCCAGCACATAAAGGACATATTACAATTGATTGTCTTGAACTACAAATTAGGCTTCTGTACAAAAGTGTCCTGCAGCACCATTCCTGCTTCTGCAGGAACAGTTTCTGAAATGGACTGTTTACAAATACCTTATACATGTACAGTTTGATCATTTGTGTAGAAGAAGCAGCATGAGACTTAACTGAGACAGACAGATTCTCATTGCAGAATGTAAATCATGCATTAAAGCATATAAATAGTGCCTATCAATTAGGCTGTGTGCAGCCTGTGGGAATTTTTGGGAGTGTCTGAAATCCTCGTCCAGGGAGCTTCTGTAACAGTTAACGAATTCTTGTGAAGCCAGCTAGCAATTCAGGCAACCATCTTGTCCCAGTTTCATGCAGATTCAAATAAGTCAATTTTCTCTGTGAAGAGATTAGTTTGGCAATTCCTAGATTATCCAGGGAATTAGTGACCAAGTACACTAGGTATGTATACAGTCATGGTTTTGATACACAGTTGTACCTCAGTTGTAACTGTGGCAAACTTGAGTTTTGCCCTTTTACTATGATTATAATTTAAATTCCATACATCTTTACACAGTAGTTATTAGGTGGACTTTTCATAGTTGAATTCTTTATCTGGAAACTGAGCTGCCAGAAGCAGCTAACTATTGTCAGTGTGTAGATGGCTATGATTTTACATATTTTTTGTCTTTTTAATATCCATTGGGGACTCAGGTGAATTTGGAGCAGGAGTCCAGGACTAAACTTCTCAAGCTGCTGGGCTACAGTAAAGAGGATCTGCAAAAAAAGGTAAGGGGTATTTCCAATAGATAGAAACATTTACAGGACTAAAGCTGTTGTGGCAGAGTTGCAAGGTCCTACTGGAACTGAGCAAGTGATCTCATAGCGCACAAATGACAAAAGTGTGTGAAATTTCAGCTGGGAGTCACATGAAGTATACCCCACTAAAAAGCAAATGCAAGCACTTGTAAGGGGGAGCCAAAGGGGTCTTGAGCCCTGTTATCTTGCTTTCAGTTGTTGGTGCACTGGGCAGTGTTCAACAACAGTGCAGTTGTGAGAGCTTCTTTTAGCGTTCAGCTCTCTCTGTCTCAGGGGATTCTTCAGCCAGGAAGAAGGTGACAGGTGGAAACAGTCTGGCATGGTACTGATGGATAATGCTCTGAAAAGTATAAATAGTCTCTGATAGGCAGTCAGCCAGGAATAGGGTGAGGTGGAAGTTTTCAGACAGGTGAATGAGTTGGGGGAATTGTGTCTGTGGCTTGCCAGTCTCTTGGTAGTTTTGCTGTCCAGGTGCTTACTTTGTTTTACACTGTATGTGTCTGTTACTTTTCTAGATTGCCTTATGTTTGAGTAACGGGATCCCAGACAAACAGCCCCTTCCTGAAGCAGGTGATACAAATACTGCACCAGATCAGGTATGTCCTGTACATCTTGCCAGCTTGGGAGAGCAGAGGAGGGCAGAATGAACTGGAAGGTCTTAATTCCAACCACAGCTTGTTGAGCTCAATGCTGGCATTGCAGAGGGCATTTCACAGGCCTATCAGACCCTCACAGGATTAGACTAAATGATAATAACTTTCCCTTTTGGCTTTAAAACTAACTAATGAACAGTGAAGGACTCCTGGCTGTTATTCCTGCAAGAATGATTGCTTCACCTGTGTTGATTTCAGTGTTAGAATTAGCCTCACCACAGATTTACTTGAGGCTACTGTTCTGGATTTCCTCTGTGAAGCTTCTGGTGCGGTATTTTTTTCTTTTTCACCTCTATCCTCTGAAATGTATTTTCACGTGATTGTGGGATGTTCATCTTCAGATGCCTTCCAAGGCCTGGTTCACTGTAAATTTTTCTCCTCTGAGGTATCTGAAACTTATATCCTCTGATTAGTTACCATCTTCATGAGCCTCAAACACTGGATGGGATATTCTAGGAGTAGCAATTGTGTCCTGCATTTCAGTAAAGCACCATGCATGGCTGTGATCCAACCTGTTATTTACAGATTTTACTCGTTGTTCTTGTCTCTGTTCCATCCAAAATAGTTCAGCTTGCTCAAGGGCTGACAGTTGAGTTGACGAATGCTGCCCAGCAGTGCTGTTGGCATTGCATGTCTTGCACCATCAATCTCCTAAGCTTTGCCAATTGCAGCACTGCTCTTGTTGCTTCCCTTGTGAAACTGCAGATTGATTGCGCAGTGACAGGAGTTTCCAAATTGAAATTAGATTTATATGAGCATGCACAACCAAATGAAGAGCAGCCCCATCCCACCCAGTATCCATTAAACTGTTTTGGGTAGAATATGTGTGTGCAGTGAATTAAATAAGTCTTGCACTTTTTGCACAGCTTTTGATGAATTCCAGCGATGATGTAGCTGCTGTTTCTTCCTCTTCAGCCTTTTTTGATAACCTCATCCCACAGAACATGAGCACATTGGAGATTCCTGTCACAGAAGGTATGTTACATAAAGAGTGTTTCTGCCCTCTTAGGAAAATGGGAGAGGAGGGAAAACCAGAAAATTCAGAGAGACCAGGAAGAATCTAGTTCACTCCGGCAGATGGATAGTTTTAAAACATATAACCCCTTCAAGTGTTATGCAGCATATCGCATTGAGCATAGAAATACTTCTTCCAGATGAGAGACCCATTAAAAATTTAGAAGAATCTTCTAGATGATGGAAGACCTAGAGTCAATTCAGTGGATTTTTTGAGTTTCCAAATTTTCTTTTAACTGGCTTTTAGCTGTTACTGCTTTTTAAGGCCTGCTCTTTAAAACAAGCATCATCATTGCATCTGAGTGATGACTCTTTGGGTTGACTCTGCTTCTGACCTCTGTAGATACAGATGGACTCATCAGCCAAGCCCTTTTGTTGGGGAATTTTGAGGGTGCAGTGGAGCTGTGCATGCGAGCAGAGCGCTTTGCTGATGCCATCATCTTAGCTATAGCTGGTGGGGATAACCTCCTAAAGGAAACCCAGAAGCGCTACTTTGCCAAGCAGAAAACAAATCTCTCCATGGTAAGTGATGGTTTTGTGAGCAGGGGAAGGTGTGCACTGTCTTGCCAAATGTTTCTCTGGATATATGTGGAAATGCTTTGTCTTCAATGAAGGAAGTAGAATGCCAGCAGAATCTGTGCATCTCCTATTGCATTTACTCTAATGTCTTGGTAGTTTTATGACAATTTTATGTTGTGTACATAGTATGTCTGTGTTCTCTGTTACTTTTTTTTTTTAATGGTTTTTGTCTCAGCTTCTCATGCTTGTAACCTGTGGTGCATACTGCCCCTTTACAGCTCAACTTGGAAGTTCCTAGTTTATTAATTTACAAATGGGGAAGTGTAACAGAGGATATCTTAACACTGTGCTCCCAGTCATTGATACCAGCTGCTCTGAAACAAGATACATGTTAGATCTTTAGTCTTGTCTAGTGTGGCTGTTTCCATATTCTTTTAAGTGCTTTGTTGGGCTTTTTAACTTTTCTTAGAGGCATCAGGTTCCAATTACTGTTAATGTAGGAATGCTGAGATTGTTGGACTTTAATGTACAGTGAGGTAGTCTCTGCATGGTGGAAAGTGTGTTTGAAAGTGCGCTGTTGCTTAGATTGTCAGCTTACCTTTTTCTTCAGTGACTGACAGGCCTTCTGCTTCCCTTACAGCTGCTTTCCTCCATTGTGCAGCAGAAGTGGCAAGATATTGTTTGCACATGTGATCTGCAGAGCTGGAAGGAGGCACTGGCCATCTTGTTAACATACTCAAAGCACGAAGACTACACTCAGCTCTGTGGTATGCAGTGTACCATGTTTTTATACAATTTCCCTTGCAGTACCTCTGGATGCTTACAGAAAGAAGTGGATAGAGTTAAGAAAAGAAAGCACTTCTTACTCATTACAGCGATCTGGAACTTATTTGAGTGTGGAGTGTTGAGTTAGGAGAATGATAGGTGCACACTGTAGCTGAGAATGATGGTGTAAAGTTTGGTATGTGGGTATTCCCTGTGACCTGTAGAAGTAGCATGAAAATAAACCAGGACAGATGCTATTCCTAGGCTGAGACATGAAGAGGGTGATTTTTATTCCATAGAGAAGGGTATTTCATTTACACTAAAAGGTCCAGTGTGCTTCATTCCACCTAAAACAGGTTTCAGCACCCTACTATTTCCTGGAGATTCCCACACCTCTTTTGGAAATAAAAAAAAAAGTGTTGGATTTTTTCACTGAATTCATCTGTCATTTCTTTCTTTCATGTGTTTGGGCAGATATAAAAATTGGCAGATGTAGAAAAGTATTTTTTTCAACCAGATTGGCTTTGGCATTTCTCTGTTGTCCAACAGTTATGCAATGGAGCTGGTGAAGGGTCTAGATCCCAAGTGTTAAGAGGAGCAGCTGAGGGGACTGGAGTTGTTTAGCATGGAGAAAAGGAGGATTGGAGTGACCTTACTGCTCTCTACAGCTACTCAAAAGGAGGTTGTACTTCTCCTAAACAGCAAGTGATAGGAGAAGAAGAAACAGCCTCAAGTTGCACCAGGGGAAGTTTAAATTGGACATTAGGAAAACCACCTACACTCAATGGGTTGTCAAGCATTGGAACAGACTGCCCAGGGAAAAGGTGCAGTCACCATCCCTAGAGTTATTTAAAAAACACGTATATGTTGCACTTAAAATCTTGGTTTAGTGGGACTTGGCAGTGCTAGGTTTATAGTTAGACTCAGTCTTAATGTCCTTTCCTGATCTAAATGATTCTATGATTCTAATTAGGTGCAGATTCAAAACACTGGGGTTAATGAGCTCTTCCAAAGGGGAGTGTGTTAAATGTTGGCTGCATCTCTTCCTCTCTAGACATGCTGGGTGCCCGCCTGGAGTCAGAGGGAGATGCAGCCCTGTGCAATGATGCCTGCCTCTGCTATATCTCATCAGGCAATGTGGAGAGGCTGGTGGAATGCTGGGTTAAAAACCATGAGACTTCATCACCACTTGCCCTACAGGTACAGGCACTGTGATATTGGTTTGACTCCTCTTTAGGCCTGTCTGGTAGCCCTGAACTGTTTGCATTTTCCCATCAGGGTGTCTGGCTTCCAGCAGACAGTGGAGACCTGTTTGTGCTCACCCAGGTATCTCCTTCTAGCCTACTTCAAAAGGAGGCTTGCACCCTGAATCAGTCAGGGCTTGTGTGTTTACATTGCACATAAATCCAGCCATGGACAGGAGTTACAGCCTACTTGCCTCTCTTACATACTGATGTCATCTCTGAGCTTCCTTTTGGTCAGGGAAGTTTGAACTATACCTTTTTTTTTTACTGGTAGTAGCCTGGGATACGTTTGCTGCTGTGCTTTTCATGTATAACATAATACTGCAGTTATCTGGCTCTACCTTCAGAACACCCTTAGCAAAATAAAATGAAGTCTGGATCATGATATTCCCACTGCAAGTAGAATGATGATACATGGGAAGTCACACCTTGCAGATAAATCAGGACTTCTAAGTCAACGTTGTTACCTACCTCTCTTCATTCCTATTGAGTATTTCACAGAATAATCCGAGTTCAAAGGGACCCACAAGGATTGAGTCCAACTCTTAGGTGAATGGCCCATATGGGGATTGAACCCACAACCAGCACCATGCTCTGACCAACTGAGTTAATCTCAGTAATGTGTTACACTTAAACCAGTCCTGCCAAAGTCACTAAGCCCTGTTGTGTCTGTCACTTGCTAGAATGAGCTAGACAAGTCTTCCACTTGAATATCTGCAGATAATGCCCTCTGCTACAGAGTTCACTGGTTTTGTAATCCCACTACTGAGTAAAAGAAACACTTCAGCACTCCTGGTTGTTTCTGAAACTGACCTCCTCCCAGTTGCCAGATATCAGCATGTATCATTCTACAGCTGTAAACACTGCTTTCATTTCTAGGAGTTGAAGGAGTTTTGAGTAACTAAAACCCTTCTGGTCCTTTTGCCAGCAGTAGTAGTTTTTTCTAGTGAATTTCTCTTGGTATGGTTTTAAGCCTTCCTCTTCCAAGTTGATCACCTGTAACAATAGTAGCTTCCTAGTAAAAAGATCACAGTTGATTGGAACAATCTTGTGGCTTCTGATTTTCTTTTTTTCCCTTACTATTAAAGTAGCAATGTCATGGTTTGCTTCCTGGTTCCTGTTTTTCTCCAAATGCATCTGAGGAAATGGTCATCAGTGACAGTATTTGGTGCAGAGGGGAGTAACTTCTGTCCACATTGGCCCTGATGTCAACTGAAAGTGGGGAGAGCCATCTGGTATTGTCTCAGCATGAGATGGACCAGTAAAACTAGTCAGATTCTGAGTAGTCTTATTTCTTCCTTCCTCCTGTATTGTTCAGGATCTTATAGAGAAGGTGATGGTGCTGAGCAGGTCCATTGAGATGCTCCGAGGCACCGCAGGACCAGCACCAGGCCCTGTCTTGGCAGAACGAATCACCCAGTATGCCAGTCTCCTGGCATCACAAGGATGCTTGGCAGCTGCAATGAATTACCTACCCAGCAGCTCTAAAGAGGTGAGTGAGAAAGAGTATAGGGGAGGGAAATTGTATAAGAGCTGGGGTTTTGTCATGCATCAGGACTTAAAGTTTCACCTTAGTTATGCTAACTTGAGAATAGAGGGGGAGGAGGGAAGGTATTCCAGGATATGGGTTTTGTCTTCATTTGCATTTTCTTTGTAGTGCCTTTGATTTAAGGAAAAGGAAAGAGTTATAGAACTGTAAAATGGTTGATGGAGAACAACATTGGGAAGCAGCTTGCCAGGGAAGCTGCCTCTCTTCTTGAAACTAGCTGGTAGAGGAAGGGAATGACGAGGTCACCTGGCAGTTTGAAATAAATCCATCTAGTGCCTAAATGTGGGTAGGGGTTGGGGAGGGAATACTGTAAAGACTGGGGGAAGGATCAGTGAGACTTCATCAGCCTAATTGTATGGCAGGTGATGTCCTGGATTGTCATTTACTATTTGTTGAGATTTTTTTCCTGCTGATTGTTGGGAACACAGTTCGTTTTGCAGTTTGATTCATAGTGCTTTAGGTCAGGGTCTACTTTAAATGCCTCCCCAGCATTTTCCATCTGGGGCTCTCAAGGTGCTTCTTCTAAAGCGTAGTTTGTTTCAGCTCCTGATTGAACAGCTCCGAGACCGGCTCTTTCATGCTCAGGGAGGGAATGTGGGTGATCAGCAGCCACCTCCTTTTCCCTACACTCGTGTCAATGTGGGGGTCATTAAACGCACAGCAGCCAAGGGTGGTTCCATCCCTGAAGGAGCAGCCCACACAGCAGGTCCCAGACATCCAGAGAAGGTAGGCCCTAAACTCAGGTGTTTGTGCCTTGGGGCAAGGGAGGAAGACTACTGGGTTGTGGAAGGCATAAGAAGTAATATGAGATGACATAACCTGCAGACACTGAGGAACTCCTCAATGATGTCCTTCACTGGAGCAAATGCAAGCTCCGTGACAATCCAAAAGTCAGCTGTCTGGCATCTTCTCACAAAACCCTGTCCTACATGCAGTCCCTGGAGGAGAATGTTACAAGTGTAGTGATCCACTGAGATCTCAAATCTTAGGGTGAAAGGGGCTGGGGTCATTTTCTATGCTCGTCGTACTGTGATATCTTAGTAAAATTAGTGTAGTATGGCTTCATGGCTTCACCTCAGTTCTTGCACAAGAAGACTGTTCACAAAGTTTGGCTTCCAACCTCTATTATTCCATTATTGTTCCTTCATTATTTCCTCCTGGTTGTGCTTTCAGGAAGTCATTATATGGGAACTTGCTCCTGAGGACTAATCCTTTTGAGAGCTGGAGAATACTCTGAAGAGTGTGGTGCTCATCTTGTTGAGCAAGTTACATGGTGGGAAAGGCCTTTGATCGAGTGCATCCAGGGCACCAACAGCAGAGCAGCAGCTTCTGTTGCCTAAGAAGTGACAGGGATAGAAATTGCATCTGCTAGTATTGTGTATGCATATGACTCTGTTGGCCATTTGCAAGTTCTTTGTTTTTTAATTGCAGCCCAGCTATCCATCATCGTTTGCCCCTTCAGCACCATCTCAGCCTTCAGTGCCTTCCCTCTTCACACCTCAGCCAGTGCCAGCAATGCCTGTGACACCTCACCACATTGCCCCTCCCCAGGCTAGCACGGGTCCACAAACAAGTGTCTATTCCAGAGGGCACCCATATCCACAGTACAACTTGGGCTTGAATCCAGCAACTGTCTCAGGGCCAGGTAAGCATTGTCTGATAGTTGTGTCCATTTCTAGGTTTTCTGAGACTAAAGCCTTCAATGTGGGTGGCTGCTCTAGTTTTTTCCTCACAGGCCTATTGTACTGACAAAGAACAGGTGAGCTGTCTAAGAGGCTTCTCTGTGCTTCTGACAGATCTAGTTGTAGTAACTGTTGCTGCATGTGTGCTGATACTAAGCATATATAGGTGTGGAAAAGCCACAGCTGGCTTGGTGGCAGTTTCACTGATGTAGCCTGGGCTAGGCGGGCACGGATATTAAAGGATATGGCTTGAAGAAGGGAAGGCTTACTACCAAGAAGGCTAGTGTCACGAGTAGTTGGCACATGAAACAAGTGATGCTGATACACTGTCTTTGTTGTCTGTAGCTGTGTCACAGTCTCAGCCATTTGGACCAGTGGGAGTTAGACCTGTTGGTCCTGCTCCTTTCTCCAGCCAGCCCTCTCTGCCAGGACAGTTGATGCCCATGACATCGCCTGGTGTTCCACCACCCAGACCTGCCCTCTTCCCTCCAGCCTCAGTCCCATCATCTCAGCTTCCTGCAGCTTGTCCTCTCCCTGTGGCAAGCCAGTCTCCTCTAGACTTCTCTTCAGCACCTTTCAACTGCCCCATGAACATGGGTTATCCTCAGGGAGGTCCTGGAGCTCCGTCTACTAAACCACTGCCAGCAGCCATTCCTCCTCCTCCCACAGGTAAGTACTGCTTGTGTGTCCCAGACAAGCCCAGGTGGGGTTTGCAGTGTGTAATGGACATGGATCTTCTGAGGTCTGGTCTGTCTCCATGAAGACTGGATGTGGTGTTGAGGCAAACCTTAGAGGCAGAGAGTGCTGAGTCTTGCTGTGGTAGTGGAACACAACAATGGTGACAGTTTCTTTCAGCCTGCTCAGTTGTTCTGTCTCCCAGGTTATGGTTGCAAGATGATGTCTCTTCAGGTCCTTAGTGCACCCTGAATAGTCATCTACTCCAAAGGCATCTGCTCTGATGGAAAGGGTGGTGGTTCCCAAGGAATGCCTGATAGTAGGTTTGCTCATCTCACCCTCGCTTCTGCAACTTACATGAGAAGTGTATTTGAAATGGTGGGAGAGCTTCCCTGTCCATGAAATACTCCTTATTTAGCTTCAGGATTAAATTCCTCTGTCTGCTGTGCTCTAGGGCTACCATTTTCTTCCTGTTGTGATAAATGGCTTGTCTGGGAATCACTTCTGGATTCCTCTCTGCAGTGTTTAGACCCCTTTGGGTCTACAGTTTGAATCCAATCTATCGTGTGAAGTCCTTGCTAGCATGATGAATAGAAAGAGTGTTGTTGGACCTAGTTCCCCATGAAATTCTGTTCTATTTCCCAGAATATCTGGTGTTTATTAATTCTCTGTTTGCTGTCTCAAGGGACAGGCTTAGCCAGGCTGTGGAAATCCCTAACAACAAAGCTGACAATCCACAGAATTTTGAGTAGATGCTTCTCCAAACCACACGTATGCTGAGAGTGAAGGAACTGAGGCTGTGATGTTTGCCTTCACCTGAAATCCTTTGCTGACCTGTGTTTATCCAAGGGTAGCAAATCCCACTGTGTCAAGTCTGTGGGGACTACACACCAAAGGCTCTAAGCTACAGCTGGACAAATTCCTTCCTGAAAAGCTTTTTGGCATGGTAGTCCAGTGAAATTACTCACTGAATTAAAGCTGTTGGTGATTATGTCTTTTCCACCCTGCCTTGATTTTCAGGTTTCTTCCCTTGGCTAGATCCCCACACGGATCATGCAGGTAGTACCCAGAGAAACATCCAGACCTGTGGGGCAGACAATGTTGCTGCTCCCAGTGAAATGCATGTTTTGATGTGTGTACACGTGTGCATGCTCACTGCTGTTTGTTGTTCCCTTGCATGCCTGGAGAGCTGTAGGGTAGGGAACATACCTGTCCTGAGGACTAGTAAGTGACAGCTGGGGATATTGGAAGTGAAATAAAAGTACTATGCTATTACTCATGAGTTTGGGTACAGAAAATAGGGTGTCCTCCTTCTACCTTCCTATTTTCCTCCAGTTGTGGAGGTATTAGACCATTTTCAGTCCCTGTCTTTTCAGGCAGTTGCTGGGCCAGCAGGACAGGGAAGCAGACAGTTTTCCTGTCTTGGTTCTCTAGGTGAGGAACAGGCCAGTGCTTGTAATTCATCTCTCCCTGTTACTCTCCCAGCCTTGTGCATGGTTTTGCTTGTGCTTTCCTCCTGTGGTTTGGAAGAGGTGGAGTCCCAGCAGAAGCAGTGGTGGAGTAGAGCTTCTCAAGCAGAATTTGGGGGCTCTCTTCCAAGGGGAACTGGAAATCCTTTTTGGCTTTAGTTAAAGGGTGAGGTTTGGCTTTGAATTTTAGTTTGACTCTGGAGGAAAATTTGGATCCAAGGGGTTTTCTGACTGATACTTTGTACTGATTTCTCTCCTTGGGATTCGTTGGTGTTGAAAGGGTAGTCATATTCTAATTTACATTGTCAGTGGGGTAAGGCTCAATGTCTCTGTGGTCTGTCAGTGTTCTGATTGCTGCTCTTTGGCAGGACAATCTACCAGGCACAAATCTCACAGCTTTATTTAGGAAATCCAAGTACTTATAGGCCCTTACATCCCCAAGCAGTCTGGCTGTGTGGAGTGGGACTCCAGAGAGGGAGTTGTCCCTTCAGCAGAGAAACAAAATACCTCCGTTTCTCCCTGTTAAGGGAAGATGATTCCACAACAAGGATTTCAAGCACTTCTTTAGGCTGAAGATGCCTTCAGGAATTCACTACTAAGAAATTCCCTTCTCCTTGGCAGCATTTGTCCCCAGTTTTAAAGGCAATGTATGGCATGCTTGGTTCAACAGTGCAAACTGGCTTCCTTGAGAGTGCTTTATTTCCTGCTATTATTGTTCTGATTTTGATTTGTATTTTTCTTAATCTGAAAATGGACTGTAAAATCACTCAGTCTGACTGGCCAAAATGGCTTGCTTTGGAAATTCCTGAACACAGTATCTACAGCTCATGAACATTATTACTAACACAATGAACAGACACGTCCACTTGCAAAAATCCCAAGTTCCCGAGAGTGTCAGGGACAGGGAGAAAGACAGCAACATGTTGGCTCATCTCCTTTTTGGCCAGGATAATCCCTGATTCCAGCTTCTGATGGTCTTGTTTTTTCTAGGACAGGCATTACTAGAGACTGCTGCCATGGGGCACTCCTTTCAGGGATGGTGAGAAATCCTATTTCACAAGTAGCATAGGGAAGATAGCATTTCACCCCAGCAAAATGCACTAGGGTCTGTTGTCTCTCATGTCTGATGATTAAGTGCCTGGCTTAAGTGGTACAATTTAAATAGCTATTTCCAGTGAGGATACAGAGTGCCACTGGGTTGGAATAGTGCCAAGGACTGCTGGGCCACAGACTCAGTGGGGGCCAGCCGAGTTCTAGGGCACAGAATCCCCAAGCTAGAAATAGGTGCCAACTTAATTAAACTTCTGATCCAAACTCATCAGAGAGCGAGTCTTGAAATCATGGGAAAAGGGAGGGCAAAAAGAGGCTGCCAGAATTTTAATAATAAAGGTAATTAAAGTAATGAAGCACCTTTTGCATCTTTACCCTGTGATTTTTAAAGCTCTGTTCAGGATCAGTAGCTCATTAAGTGTGGCTCTGAGCTCGAGCAATTCTGATATTGCCCCCTTAGAATTCCTCTGTTTTCTCACAGATTATTCCTGTCTCATGGGCTTGTGGTGATTAATACTGGGGTTTTGTCTAAAGAGGCAGGTACCTTTACAGGACAGCAGCAGATAAGGTAGTTGCAAATTGACCTTTGCAGAATGAAGAGTGGACACAAGTCTTTTGATATCATGTTGTTTGATGGATTTTAAATTACCTGGAGTGAGGTTAGAGTACTACAGAAGCATCTGCTGAGACACCCTTCTGCTCCCAGAGCATTTACTGGTTAAGTCTATTCCCTTCTCTTTGACAGTCAGCAAATTTTGCTAAGCTTTGGTTCTGAACATGATTTTTTAAGTGAACCCACCCCTAAATCTTTCTGCCTTTATCAGAACAGCCTGTATTGTGTTGGACTGCCACCGTGAGCATTCCTGTGAGTACTGATGAGAAGCCCTCTCACCTGTAGCATAGCTGTTGCTGTGCTACCACAGTGCCAGATTCTCTGGGGAACCCCAAGAACTTCCTGAAATGTGAGCTGCACAGGGGACATGGTGGGGACATGCAGGTCCCCACCAAAGTTCAGGCCTGACTCTGAGGCTGATTTATGCAGCTTATACAGAATCCAGAAAGCTTCAGGTAGTTAAAAAGAAAGTTTCCTGTGTGGGAGTGGATATGTGCCAGTTCAGTCTGATCAGACATAACCTCATTAAGGCTGTGCACACACTAGGATACAAAGAATGAAATTAAGAAAGGGAAGGGGAAGCAAGAGTATCTCGTGGGCCTGTGAGCTGGGTTTGAAATTCCTCAGCTGAAACAGTCTAAAGGTGCAACGACAAGGGAATTGGAGCCAAAGGGCCTTCTCCTGAAGGAAGTTCTAAACAGTGCATGGATTGTTGCTGCAGCCAGCTTCTCACAGTCTGAGGTTTGTGTCTTGTCTTCTGTCCTGGCAGCTCAGGAATCTTGGAGTGATCCCTCTAGTGGAAGAGGAGGCCTTCCAAAGAAAAAGGTAAGTTTTCAGCTACAATATGTGTTGGTTGTCTTTTAGCCAGGGAATTCTATGTGACAGATACATTCCTATAAATGCTTGCTGTCAAACTCTGCAGGTCTCTATCCCTGTTGCTCTGTCTACATCTGCACTGCATGGCTAGGACTGGAGTCTAAGCAATCTTGACTCTTTGCCATCCAAAGTCACATGCTGTTCTGCAGGGTGGCTGTTTTGTAATATGGTTATCAGCTCTAATGTTGCATCCTCTGTCAGTACTTCCCAGGCTGCCTACAATAATTTGTTGTTAAAAATACAGATTTAATCTTATGCCCTTGCCTACACAATTTTTTTGATGGCAGCTGAGGAGGTCACATCCTCTTCACACCTGACAGCTAGGGGCAGCATTTTCCCTCAGAACAGTGAGACCTCAGTGATTTTCCTCAGATGCTGATACCAAACGATAAGGCACTTGTGCTGAGAGAAGTTGGGACAGGTGTAGCTGTGAGCTGCCTGCTGTGTTGGTCCTGCAGCTTTCTGCCTTGTCGTGATTGCACTGGAGGGCCTGTGAGCTGAGCTCTTCTGCAACAAATGCTCTCAGTACCCCGATTCTATCACTGGTGCCTGCTGGCAGGTGTGATGAGAAGCTTCTTTGGCATCCTTCCCACCCCCCACCCCTCTTCTTTAGCTTGGAACAGACTTCTCGCCCTTTTTTTCTGGCAGCATAGCTGGGAACCTGCTTCAGGCTGTGCTCACTACAACAGGATTAGCCTCTTGTTAAAGCCATCTCCTTTTGATCTAGCCCTGTTGGAGAGAATCTGTCATGACTCTCTGGCTTAGCAGGGGCATGATGAAGTGTTTGCAAGAGGAATCTCCCCCCATGTCGTGGGATTTTCCCCAATACTTGCTCAGTTGGACACTTCACTGCTGCTAATCTCTACATTCAGGACTCGTGCCGTTGCAGAGACCAAGCGGCTTTCTGAGCACCAGTGCTCTCAGGGGTAACGGATCTGTTTGATTGAACAATTCCCGAGGGGTTTTCTTGCTGTCGCTTTGACTGTTCATCTAGGATGGAAGGGCCATATTCTCTGAGTCAGGGGACTGAAAGAACAGGGATGTGTTCTTTCATCATCTTGAGAACTGGAGACTCTTCAAGTTAGAAAGGATGTTGAATTTTTCTGTGGAGAAGCAACCAACCTTTCTTCCTTGGATTTGGTTTTCTTGATTTTTTTTTTTTTTCTTTCCTTTCTTTGCTGACAGTTGCCTGAGAAATTTACTCCTCTGGCCCCCATCACAGCTCCAGTAATGGGTGTGCCTGCTGAACCCCAAGGGATCCATCCTCAGCTATCCAGGTTGCAAGAATCTGGCCAGTCACCCCCAGGAGCACCCAAGGAAGGCAGCCTACAGGTACCAGGGAAAGTGGGGCATTCCCTAGCCACCAGCATCTTGTCAAGGAGAAAAACAACTCAGCTTTTGAGGTTCTTACTACTTGGCAGCTGCAGAGGGCTTATGCTGCTTCCTAGCCCCTACAAGTCATCTCTGCTGAGCATTAGAGGAATTGCCAGGTTGGAAAAATGACACCTGGGTATGGGTGGGAGAGAGCAAGGGAGACCAGGCAGGCTGTCAGCCTGCTGGGAGTTAAGAATTCACAGACACCTGGAGCTGTATCACAGTCTGAAGATAACCTAACTTTGTGCTTCCAGATGTTCTCTGGGTTTGTGAAGGGGTGAAATTTTTTCTGTTCTCTAGGTTGAAGAGGGGAATCTACCTGTTCCAGCCTTTCATGCTCCTACTGAATTCATTCAGCTGCATTTTTTTTTTTCTGTCAGTATCACCAGCTACCTAGGGAAAGCATTGAGAGGAAGGAGCTGCCCCCTGAGCACCAGGCTTTGAAGACTGCATTTGAAGGGTTGGTGCAACGCTGCTCGGCTGTTGCCACTGATCCAGTAAGTCCTCCCTTCTCTGATCTTGGACTTTTTTTTCCCTTATAGATGTTTGACTGATGCTTCCTTCTTTTGGTTGGGTAAAGAAAGGAAAAGTCTTGTCCCTCTAACCAAGTTAATCTCCATTTGCCTCCTTCCTTTAGGCTGCAGGTTTGTTCATCTTTGGGAACTGAGATGCATTCTTTAACTTTCATCCCCTGCTGCTCATTGCCTTCTTGGAGCAATGATTCTGTCCTCCTGGCTCTTTCTTTTACGGAAAGTAGAAGAATTTACTCAGCTAATTCAGTTTCACTGCCTTGATCTGCAGACAGTTCCTGCAGAGCTGGTATTACTAGCTATCTTTAGATCTTAGAGGAAAAGGCTGAGATATCCAGGTGGAAGAGAAAGCCAAACAATCTTTGTGTCCAAGTAAATGTAATTTCTCCACCCTGGTTCCTGAAAAGCTATTGGCACATGTCACATTGGGTGAATGTGTCAGGCCAGACTGTCTGGAAACAGAAAAGTAGTGTTTGAACATTGTGTTAGGTTTCTAAGTCTTCCCAGGGCTTGGGGCTGCTAAGAAGCCTTCCAGAATACCTCTGTTTGATAGGTGCTAGGGCGAACACAGCCCAGACTGCTATGCCAGAGTCGGGCAATTAGAGCAGCATCTTCAGTGTGTTTGCTCTGTGCTTTCTGAGAGTGCAGCATAGCAATTTCTGCAGTATAATCTAAAGGTTCCCTCTATGAACAGAAAGGCCTGCTGGTTTAGGCTTAAGCACTTAACTCAGGTGGTGGTTGAATAGCTGGCTCTGTACAGCAGTGCAAGGCACCTGAACTCTTGTGGCTTCCAGGCCTATTCCGAGAGCCAGCCATTTGTGTTCATGGAGTAAATTATCTGTGAGTGGATTATTCACGATGGGGTTAATGAGGTCAGTCTCATCAGAGCTTCAGTACTCACTTCACACACTTTCCTTGGTGGTTACCTAGAGTGGGAAGGATATTCCCTCTTTTCCCTAAGAAGACCAGGAAGAAACTCTTCTTGGGCCAGTCAGGGTGAGGCTGTCTGAACACCCCATGGGTCAACTAGTGGATGTTCTTCACAGTTTGAAAGTCATCAGTCTATCCTGTGGTCTGAAAATACTGGCAGAAGGGAGGCATGCCTAAGCTGGGAGATGGGAAAAGGGGCAATCCATCTTTCTGTGTTGGGGAGAGAATGTGTATATATGTACATGTATATATATGTGCAGAGTGAGGGCATGGCTGGCTTGTATCACAGACCCTGGCTGTCAGAGGCTGAGATGCAGCTGAATGGTAAGGTGCTGCGGAAAGACAGAGGAAGGGAGGGACTGAGTGAGAGCACTTTGGCTCTGGAGAGGTGGCTTTGAAGCTCTGGCAGACAAGCAATCCCTATTTTGCTTCAGAAAACGCGAAGGAAGCTGGAGGACGCGCTGCAGCGGCTGGAGTGTTTGTATGAGAAGCTGCGCGAGCAGGCGGTAAGTAGATGCCACCATTCCTTGTGGTCCTGCTGGGTCCCTGAGCACACCTTGGCACTGGCTTGTGGGTCTTGGTGTCTGTACCAATGTAATTGGCACATATTCTCTTGGAAAACAAGGGGAGTGCCAAGACCATTAATCCAGCCTGCCTTGTATCTTTTTTCTTAACTTTAACTCAGACATAGTGTAAGGAAAAGTTGAGGAGGTATCTGAAAGGTGCTTTTGCCCTTCCAGAAGTATACTGGCACATAGATCCTAGATGGGAAGGGGCAGTTGGGAGTGGTTAAGTGTGAACATAGTGTAACTAGCTTAGAAAACTCGGAAGTTAGTGATGCCAGTTGCTGATGCCAGCTGGCATTTGTAGTCTGGGAAAACAAGGAGAGAAGCAGCTATCCTTCCTGCCAGTGCTTGACTGTATAGGTGCTGTTTGGTGAAGATGAAGTGGAGAATAGTAATGAAGGGTGTGGAGGGAGAGAGACCTGTGTTATATCACTGAACATGCTGACTCATTTCTTCTCCCTCTCCACAGCTCTCTCCAACCATCCTCATGGGTCTCCACGAAATTGCCCGATGCATTGAGGCTAAGAACTACCCACAGGGTCTCCTGGTTCACACACAAGTTGTGAGCAGCAGCAGTTTCAGTGAGGTGTCTGGTTTCATGCCCATCCTGAAAGTCCTCATGACCATAGCAGGCAAGCTGAATGTGTAAAGTGTGGAGCAGCTGGAACAGTGCACACCAGGAGCTGGTGGACTGCCTCACCTGTTGATGTGCTGCAGGTTGTGGACTCTCCTTCTGACTTTGGAGAAATAGGTCTGTGCCAGTGCCTGGAACTGTGCTAAGCCAGCACACCTGGCCCCATCTACTTTCCAGACAGCCCACTGGTGCCTGCAGCTCCTGGAGAATGTTTTTTCTCTCTTCTTTCTTACTGGTCTGAGGCCACTTTTCAGCCCAGGGATCTCAATTTCCAGCTGTCCAGGTTGCACAGGGATCCTTCTTCTTCCCTATATCTCCAGCACAAAAGGGAAAATCTTTCCCTTTTAGGCTGACATTGCTTTTTACTTTTCAGGAAACAAACAGGGCTGGTACCTGCAGCACCACCACAGAACAGCCTCAAGCTCTATTCCCTGCTGCAGAGTAAACTTCCTCAGTGGTAGCTGGGCTGCTTTGGGAACCTAGGCTGGTGTGTCCTCACTCTGCTGGGCTGCAGCAAGGATTTCTCCTGGCTCCTTCTTTCTCTTCATTCTCATCCTTGACTCACCCTTTCACCCCTCTGCACCCATATCCTGCTACAGCTGGGACTAACTACTAGTCTACTCAAGGCCAGCTTTGGTTCTCTTTCTTCTTTACCCAGCTCTCTTGTTTTTAAAAGTCAAGTCTCCTGTTTACCCTCTATCCACTTTCCTTTATATCTTTTCCCCCATCATCTGCAGGCTCAAGCCCATAATGTTTCAGATCCAGGGATGATTTCCTTTCCAGTTCCTGGGACTCTCCCATTCAGGAATGTAGGCAGGTTGCGCTCTGTGCACTTCTCCCCAGAGCCAGTTGCATCCTGTCTTGGGGCTAAAAGCTGCCCTTTCTGGCTCCTGGCCTTTTTCACTTCTTTTACTTAAGCACTGCTGGACTTTTACCTACTGGTATTATCGACAGGCTTCCTACTTCAGGTTTTTCAGATGGCCTAGGGACTTTAAGAGCAGCAGGGATTGTTTAAGTCCCATAAAGATTTCCCTTGAGCTACCCTGCCCAGCCCAGACTTGAGCAGGGAGAGACAGCTCATTGCTACAGGTATGGTGCATTCATACTACCTACAGTTACAGATACATGCAAAGGTAGTTCTCAAAGGCCCATTGGCACTCTGGTGGTAGGAATACGCTGCAGGAGGTGATCTTGTCAGGACTTGAAGGTATGGATTGTGCTGAGACTTGTCATCACTGTGGCAATTCCTCTGGAAGTAGATGAATGAAGCATATCTGTCCTGAGGAAGAAGTCTGGGAAGGTAGATGGGATTTTAGGGCACATCTTTGTGTGTGTTTATTTCCCTCCCTTCCTCCCTCTTTGCCTGCTCTCTCAACATCCTTCTTACTAACCAGGCAGCATAATCATTGATCCATAGCCGAGAGCAAGGCTTATTCCCAAGATTTGGATGCAGCCAGCCCCTATTTGCTCTGCTTGCTGCTTGAGTGATAATGCTATCGTGGGCCTGCAGTTCAGTGACATACACAAATCAACCTAGTCTACCATGAGACTTAGGAGGGAGGAGAATCAGAGAAGGGAGGAAGAGGACATGTCTCATTCACTCCTTTCCAGGTCAAAGTGCCTCCTTGTTGCTGCTGTGTTGTTTCTATTGCTGCGGTTTGATGCACTGAGAAATTACAGAACAGTGAAATAAAAGCTGTGTTTTGTGATGCTTTTTTTTCAGAGGCTTGCTACCTCTGGCTGCATGGGACTTCCTCAGTCTGCATGGCCACCCACAGAGGGGGCAGCTGAGAACCGTGTGGGGCAAACCAGATTTTGGGCTCTGCTGCTATGGGTGGCATCCATCCTGGTGTGCTGAGACCTCAGGTCTTATGCCCTCTCTAAGGCTGCAGGGTCAGAGCACTGATCTCCAGATCACCTGCACCAGTTGTGACTGTTCATCTGCATCAGACACAAGAAGGCCCTAAACTCAGGTTCTCTTGGGGAATCTCAGCCGTGTTTGAGATTTTGCACTTGACATAAAGAGCTGGAAGTATGTCAGTAAGTAAACAGAGAGCCCTTGATGACATTGTCTCCCATTGGAAATAAATGTTACACCACTGAAGCCATGCAGCTTGAACTAGGATAAGGATTGGACCTGTGTGAAAATTTATACCCTTGAATTGTCAGTTCTTATCATTAGTTAATAACTTAGGAATCTGTTGGCTGATTTCATTTAATCTTTTAAGGATGTAAGAAGGGCTAAATGGAAACATAGTACTGAGATAAAGGTGGGGGAATCAAACTTCTTTCTTACAAAAGAAAGAAATTCTGATGTAATTTTTTTTTCTGTCAGCTAGCTAGTATGTATGGACAACCCTTCCAGTCAGCACACATGAAACTCTGAAATATGAAGACTGTATTACACGGCCCAAGGTTGGAGGACTTGGGAGGAAGCAAAGGTTTGAAAAGATTGTTTGAATGGTAAAAATTTGAAGGGCTGTTGCTGAGAAGGGCCCAGGGTTTCTGAGAGTTGCGGGTGTTAGGGACACAACACATGCATTCAAGGAAAACAAGCCTTTTGTAGTTCTGCTGCTGGCAGAGGCAAACACCCAGTGTGAAGGAGTCTTGAAGAGCTTTTGGTCTGGAGCAGTTAGCAAACAGCTTGGCTAATAGCTGTCCCCCAGCAGGAACAAGCAAAGCTGATTTTCAAAGGTAACACTGACGCAGCATCAGAATGGTGTTATCACACAGGTAGCTCCGGTGGCATACATTTGTTTAATGAGTGTATAAGGGAAGTCCCAGGTTTCTGAGATCACTTAACAAGCCTGGCATTTCTTAGATTCTGCCTTTTTGGATTCAGTTATGGTACACTTTGCACTCCAGCCCTTTGCTCTCTTTAACTCAGGCCACTTCTACTGCTGAGAAATAATCACAGATTTTCCACGTATCTCTCAGATACATATGACATTAGTTCCCTCCAGCACGCATAGCTGCTGCTACCGGGTACTTGTGCAGAGACTGGCTGTTTATCCTGCCTTTGATGTGAGTTCTTCACACCTGCCCCTCTGTTGCTCTGTCTTGCTTCATGTTTACCCCTGTAAGCACCATCCCTGAAGCTCTTTGCTTTGAAAGCAAGCAGAGGGGGAAGTGAGATGAGTCGCTTGAAAGTCTTGGAGAGGCTGGGGGCAGAGGCCCTGTCTCTGCAGCCCTGGTGTGGTATATTACCTTTCAAACCCCGCTGGAAAGTGCTCCTCCGTTTATAGCACCATCTCTGCTGGCTGGCAGTATCCCAGGGCAGTGAGCATTGCCCCCTCCCGTGTGGGCACATGGCTTCACAACAACCGGGCACCAGAGAAAGCATTTTCAGTTGGGTGAGAAGGCCTTTGGGTTGACAAAGAATTTGGGGGGGAAGGGGGCAGCAGGAAAGGATCCCTGGGCACAGAGAACAGAGCTCTAATCCCGTAGCAGATAACATCATGTCTGCAGGCTAGGCTTGTGTGTGTTTGGGGGAGCTGGAGGGGCAGAGATTGTTAGGCAGTATTTGTTTGTAAAGCCACTTGCTCTGAAGATAATGCTTGCACTAACTTCTATTGAGGGAGCAGTGTGAGTCCCCACAAAGTCCTTTCCCAAAGTGTCTTTGAAGCCAAGAACCCATTGAAAGGAAGAAAGGCCAAGAGAGGGGATTAGTTTGTTCAGCAGCTGTGAATTTCAGTGGGAGGCTGATGAACTCCAAAGTCTTTGTTGAGATGTTTTTTGTAAGGAGCCCTGCTGGAGGGAGAGACCCACACCGGGGCCGCGGCCTTAGACAAGAAGGAATCTGAAACGGCGGGGAGCTGTAAACGGGCCACAAGGACTTTTCCCAAACACTTTTCGGAAAAGGTGTTGTAAAGAGATCGGAGGGGGATTAGCATGTGAAATGACACTTTCCATTGACTCCACTGAGGGGAGGGGAAAAGGGCTGGCTGGCTGATTTATTAGCATTTTGTTCCCTTCTCTATTCTGCTCCCCCAGCAGCCCCCCCTCCTCCCGAGCCCTCTAAAGAGGCTCGGATTGGAAAAGGGAGCGGGGGGCTGCCTGTTTGTGTGTCATCTGGGCGAAGGTGACCACCTGGGAAGCTGAATGTAAATATTTCTCCTCTGAGGAATGCGCCTTCATTAAACCGAAATGAATACATGGAAGCATCCAATCCTGCCCACAATGGCAGCAGGGCCTTTACCGCTGCGGGCTCCGTGCGCCGGGAGGGGGGACCCGCTGCTGAGGTCAGCACATTCTGCAGCTGCGGTGTCGCCGTTTCCCGGCGGAAGCAGCGTGTGGCGGCGGGGCTCTCACTGAGTGCCCCACATGTCCCCTTCGGCAGCGGCTGTGCCACGGCCTTCGCGGGCAGCACTGTGGGGCAGCAGTGTCAGCAGGGGACGGATGGAGTGCGAGTGGGAGGAAGAGGGAAGCGGCTTCTGCAGCTTTTCCAGCTGACTGTGGAACTGGGAGAGCCAGCAGGAAAAGAGAGGCCCATGCTGGAGCTTTCCCTGGTGGCTGAGAGGCTCTTGCTTCCTCTTTCCTTTCCTGGCCAACCACAGGGACATGGGGGAGCTGCTGCTGGGGACGCAAGAGACCTTCAGCAGGGTCACTGGCTAGTAAGAGCTTCTGTGCAAACAGTGGTGGTTTGTGTGTGAAGTGGAAGTGTTTCAGTTTTCCCTGAGAATGGGCCAAGGTTTGTTGCAATTTTTGAAAGGCCAGATTCTTGCTTGACCAGAATGCTCTTGCTCTCATGAGACCCTAGGTCCAAATTCCTGATCCCTGTGAGGTAGTCTTAGAATCAAGGGACTAATTGATAATGAAGACAAATGCAGGCTGCTGAGTGTCTTTAATATATCTATGATGTAGTGGGCACTGGGCCCTGCCTGCTGCCCTCCCACCCCGTTTCCTCCTGGCAGTTGCATTGCAGTTGGATGCATCCTCAGGCAAGCTCAGGAGAGAGCACATCCTTTCCCCTCGTGGTAGGAGTTGAGATTGTGCTGGCTGGAACTGGCTAGATCTTCCTGGGCTCAGATGGGTAAGCAGTGTGTTTTAACCTCCAGGACACTTAAATTTCTACATACACATGCAAAATGGGACGAAAGAACACCCAGCCACTTAGACACAACAGCATTTTGCAAGCACTTGGCTACTGATTTATTGCATTGGCTATTGGTTTACAAATATTGGCTACAAGATGGCTCTAATGGCCAGTAACAGCTCTGCTGGCTTCTTGTCTGGCTAAAGGACACTTCAATCAGCAAAGTAGGCGATCTTATTGCAGCACAGAGGAAGATTGCTGTGATGGTGCAGTGAGCTTCCCCAAATCCTGCAGCTGGTAGCTTCTTACCTCCCTCCCCTAGCCTCAGCAAGGGAACAGAGATGCATCAACCAAATCTTCCTGCTGCTTGCTTAGCCTATAGAATATATACAATAAGTGGTAGAGGAAAAACTGTTATGTATACATCACAGTAACTGTGCAATAAATTAAACTTCAAAGTGCTTCACTTTCCTATTTACACCACCATTAAATAGTAACTGACATTATTTTCTCAGACTAGGAAGAAGTGTTTAGTTAGTTAGCTGACAGGGTAAGAGTGCTTGGCAAGTACACCAGGACATGGGGAGTAGGCTCAGCTTGGCAGCTCCTCACTGGGAGCGATTTGGGAGGAAGGAGGTAGTGGAGAAGTGTTAGGGCATCTTTATGGCATCAGTCAGTGGCTTTGATAGGAATGCTGGCCTAAAAAGGGAGACCAGACCTGGAGACTTGGAAGATATATAGAAAGCATGTAAAAACCAAGTGATGGGACCCCTATTTTGGACAGCTGTGTAATGGGCAGATCAAGCAGCAATTTGGATCTTGCTGCTGCCATTTCAAATGCAAAGTAAAGCACTAGAGAGCTTAGCAAAGCTGTCAAAGGGTGGGAAGCAAAGCTGTGGGGTCCCTGGAGGCTGTCTTGCTGAGAAAGGAGTTGCATATGTTTTGTATCTCCTCATACTGTAGGCCTGAGGCAATAACTGTTTTAGTAGCTCTATTTTTTAAAAGCCTCTTCTCATTTACAGATTACTGATCTGAGTTGCCCAATTGCTGGTGCCACCTCAGTTTCCTTGTACTTTTAATCTCACTTACTCAAAAGCCCAGAGCAGGTGCTTGTTTGGGGAACAGACCAGCTCAAAACCACAGGAGCCACCAAGACCTCCTGTGTTTTCAGAGATAATGCCATAGTCACTGGATAGAGTGACACTGAGTTGAAGGGATGGAGTCTCACCTTGTTTTGTGAACACTTGAAGGTGTCCCCAGAAGACATTACCCACTGCACTAATGCCCTGTATGGGCAAGGCCTGAGCACTCATACAAGGCTCTTTTGCCTTGCCCAAGCCCCAGTGAGGCAGCAGTGGGAATGAGACAAAACTATGCCAAACAGAAATGGTGCCAGGAGCTGATGGGAAGGGCAGGAGAGGAGAGGGGCAGACAGAACTGTGGAGGAGCAGAAGCAAGTCAGAGCTTTCTCTTGAGCTTGCGGCTGGCCCCGCCACCTCCGCTCCGCTCCCGCTTCTCCTTGCGGACACAGAAGTACTTGGTGACGCGCTTGCGGCACTGCTCGCAGCGCACAGCGCAGCACCAGTGGAACTTGCAGTTGCAGCTGGACACCATCTCGGCTCGCCTCTCCTCCACCGCCAGCCCGCAGTCCCCACACAGCCGCCGGCAGCTCCGCTTCTCCCACTTGCTGAGCGCCTTGCCCCTCTTCAGGCACTCCCTGCCCTCCGTGCCCAGCAGCCCCAGTGTCTTGTTCTCCAGGCAGTAGTCAGGAGAGTCTTCCAAATGGACCAGTTCCTTCTTGGAGATGGAACTGAAGGTCTCAGCAATGGCACCCCGGCTGGCAGCGCTGTTCCCTGCTCCCTGCAGCAAGTCCACCTTCAGGGCTTTGTGGTACCTCTCCTTGAGGTAAGTGCCCACCTCCCGGAACTCGGGCAACTGCAGCCAGCAGGTCTGGGTGGTGCAGCTTCCTGACACTCCATGGCATTTGCAAGTCCGCTTCATGGTCCCTTTCACTGCCTACAGGGTGAGCAGAGAGAGGGGTTCAAGAAAAAAAACCCGGAGGGGCCATTTCTGTGCTGCAATGCATGCAGAACCATGGCTCCAGGTCAGTGGAAGAGTTTGGCATCAATTCTCCCTGCACAGTAGTCCTGAAGCTCACAGATTTGCTTTTCCACAGTGCTCCCCTCCTTGAACTGGGAGGAAGAGGGCTGCAGAAAGTAATTAGCACTGAGTACAGAAGCTTTGCTACCTTAGGGCAGACAGCATTGTATGGCTGACATCCCCCCAGGAAGTTGTTTCTTCTGGACATGTGTTTTTAGCCACATCAAATTGTGACTCTCCACAGTGAATGCTCAGAGCAAATTTGGTATGCACTGTCAGCTTTGGAGGGAGAGAGGTGCTCACCTTTCTACCTGCCTCGTTGTTATGCAGGTTCATAGCAGCTCTGGCATCTTGTCCAGTCTCCAGGGCATCCACAAACTGCTTGGAAATAGCTTCCCCAAAGCCCACGTTATCGCTGCAGCCTCCCCACAGCCAGCCTTGTCCCCCTAAGAAAGGAGAAGAGATGTGTGCTGTCAAAGAACCAGAAGAGGTTTCAGAAGTGATGGGAGGGAAGGAGGCTGTGGGGCAAATCCAGGCTTTCACCACACAGTACTCCCAGATTCCTTCCCACTGGGTTGATGACATTTCTCTTGAGGCCTGGATAGTAAGTGGCTCAGGCTGGCAGGCATGTCCTGTACAGCAAACACAGGCTTTCCAGGCTTTCTATAGAGCAGGATTTAGAAGCTGTTAGTTACAGTGCATTAGCAGACATGCAGATAAGCCTTTGGGTCTCTAATCACTTCTCAAACCCTGACTTCAGCTGGTTCAGAGTGACTTGCAGGGACAGCACCTTGCTAACTTGGATTAAAAAACTGGTGGAGACATCCTGGTCAGAGGCGACAGATTCCCCTCTGCCTAGAACAGCCCAAACCTGGCACATGTGCATCAAGGAGGCCTTGGTTTTGGCACACCCAGAATTCTGAGATGTTGTTTGGCATCTTAGAAGGGTCTGATTTTCTAGTTACCATCAAGAAACAAGGGAGTCAGAAAAGAACTCTGAAATTGCACAAAAATATGTGGAAGGTACTTTTCCTAACTGAGTGGGAGCTGAGTGGGACTGGAAAAACATTATGCAGTTTTTTTCCTCCTATAGAAAGATGCCAGATTTTTAATGAAGATTTGAAATCTGGAACATTCTGATCCTGACATGCCACATTGGTACATCATGGGAGTTGTGGTTTAATGGCCTTGCGCCTCTCTGGAAAGGCCTGACCCTCGCCTGGACTTCCCCAGGGCATCGTGATCCCCTCTCCCAGAGAGAGACAAGAGTGTTTCATGGGAGGTGGGTAATTCAGAGGATGATGCAGTCCAAATCAAGAACTGGGAGTGAAGGAAGTAGGAAAACCTTTCACCAGCTTGGATTCAGTCCAATGGCTGAATTGAATCATGCAGTTTTGGTCAAGCCCAAAAGTTTCCTGTGCCTTACAAGGTTTTAAGTCCACAATGGAAAGTTTTTTATTAAAAACAAATATATTTGTGGGAAAGGAAATGTAGCAGGACTAACTTGGTTTGCCAGAGAAGATAGAATTTGATGTGTTGTTGCCCAAAAGTCTTGCTCTGCTAGAGACAGGCATCTCCAAACTTTGGACATCTATGCAGTAGTAGCTGTTTTCAAAACTATCAGCCAGTAAAGTAAATTACTAAATACTGGACACTCCAGAGGAGTTTGTCATAAAATGACACATACTGACTGCCTGGTGTGGCATGGCTTTTAAAATATTTTGATAATTTGAAATTTGACCTCTTTCTATTCAAAACAAAACCCCTAAATGTCAGTGTTTTCTGTGAAAGCTGAGCAGAGAGCTGGAGTGGTGCAGCCTGGAGTTCCCCTGGAGGTGCTTGGTGGCTGAGGGCCTGGATATCACTGCCATGTGGAGGGTGTGATGGCTGTGTGCACCCACAGAGATTCTTCTGGTTGTGCTCTTGTGTGCCTGTCATGCTGACAAGTGCTAGAGAGGTTCATGAATGCCACCCTACTTTTTCTCATGGTCATTCTGCTGTGGGGCCAACCTGGTCCCGCAGGCCCTGGGAACCCTGAGGTCCCTGACCTGTGCTGCTGTATCAAGATCTGTGCTGCTGTACCAAGATCATTTAGGTGCATGGCAACAGATCCACTCCTCTGCCTGTGTGATATAGTCATTCTCTCCAGCAGCTTAAATAGAGTTCTTGATTTGAACCAGGGAAACTGCAACCCCTTCTACCTTCCTGTTCATGTGGAAAGTAATGGAAAGCATCAAGAGCTTGGCTGGTGTAAACTAGAGGTGGCTCCATTAGCTTTCACAGAGCTACTTAGGTTGGAACCAGGAAAAGCTTTTCTCTGAGCATTATTGCCAGGTGTGGGGACCAGGATGGGGAGGTGTTTCTGCAGGCCTCAGTGGAGAAGAGAAGAGCTTCTCCTGCCACCTGGGATGAGTGTGGGGCAGCAGCTCATCCCTCCTTACCCAGCTGTCCATTGCGGGAGTCGTCACAGCCACAGTTGTCAAAATCCCCCAGGCTGCAGTTCCGGGTCAGCGTGTACATGACACCCGCAGAGCTGATGGCGTGGACAAAGGCTGTTTCTCGGTTTGCTGTCAACAAAGAGAGCAGATGTGCAAAAGATTTCATGGCAAGGGCAATGTTAGAAATTGGTCCAACCGTGCAGGAGTCTGCACAGGACTCACAGGATCTGCAGTGGGGAAGACTTTGTGGGGTGGAGAAGAGGCTCTACCTGTCAGATTAGCTTAGTTTGGGCTTGAACTGCATGAAGATAGAAGCTCACAAAATATGACCCAGACTGACTTATATAATTTGAAGGGGTGTGGAGGAAATAGCACCTGGCTGTCCTTGTGGGAGCTCAACAGTGGGGATATAGTACAGACTGCCAATGTCCCTCACTTCTCACTAACACACCCCCAACGGGAAGGGGTCCTCTCCAAGTATCAAAGAGCTCCTTCCCCACAGTCCTCTCGAGCTGTACCTTCTGGTGAAAGAGCTCTGAGTAGTGACCATATCTACCCACCAGGATCAGTCTGGGAATCATCAGCTGGCTTCACTGAGCCTTTGGCTTTCCTTTAATACCAGCAAGGTGTGGATCTGAGCAGATAACCTTGACAGGAATTGTTCTGGGACCTGCTTCTGGTCTCAGAGTGGGCCTTGTGCTGCACTTGTCTCCTCAAGGCTCCACTTTGATTCCTTTGTCCACCTCTGCCTGGGGATCTGGTCTCTTGTCTCCTGCCAGTCCCACCAGAGGCCTGAGGCTCTCCTCCATACCCAGGTCCTGCTTTTACAGAGCAGGTATGAGCCCAGCCCAGCATAAAACATAGGTCTAGAGGGCCAGATATGCACTGAAATATTTCCTGGGACCTGCAAATAGGTAAGGAATAGGTTACAGTGACAATGACCACAGC